CACTAAGGTTGAAAATTCTGCATTCGAATGAACAATAGGCAAACCAGCAGAGAAAGTATTGTTTATACGCATAAGTATCTTTTGGTCATAATAGTTTCTGTCGACATTCGAATAACACTTTGAACCTAAGTTTGAAACAATATATAAGATTGGTGTGCTTAATGTCAATGGAATAGACATTCCTTGTATGACACCTTTTCCTGTTATAGGAAACTGTTGGTAGTAAAAACCAGAAATAAGTTTTGTATTATAGCTCATATTGTTTATAGTAAACTCAGTCGGACATCCAAACATAATGAAACCTGCTCTAGTTGCAGCACATGTTACACCCGTACTTAAAGTATTAAATAAGTCAACAAAACCTGTTGGTGGTATATCTGAGTAAGTATCTTCAAAGGAGTATTTTTTACCATTCACAACAATAAAGTCTTCTGGTGTCAAAAGAGCAAAACAGGCTTTAGTCGTCATTGTGTTTAAGGTTAGTTTACAATATCGTCCTTGAGGACTTTGTAAGTTTGTTGTTATAGAATTATATGACTCGGGGTTTTTAGTCGTAATAGTATAAACCATTATATCTTCTGCCATTTACTTAGCAAATAAATTTTAATGAAATGTTGTGGTCGTCAAATATTTTTATGACGTCTGGGAAACTATATTTTAAGTTCAACGTTTCACCTCCTTTCATAACGTATATCTTGTCAATGACATTATATGAAACACCACAGCAACTAATGTCGGGTTCTATTTCTTTGATGTTTATATCGTCTGCCTCTGTCAAAAGTTTCAATAGTTCTTTCAAAACTTCATGAGGTGCAATGACATATGAGTTCACTTTTACAGGGTTGTGTTCGACCAAGTTTAACATTATACTTAAAGCTTGACAAATCTTCTCCTGAGTTTGAAGTTTGTCTTTCAGTTGTTGGTAGTCGTTTCGAATATCTGCAACAGAACTTAAGTCTCTGCTAACTTCAGGATATGTTGTTCTTTTACAGGAACAATTGCTATACCATCTTCGTCTTCGTATGGTTTCCCACTTCAACATCTCTGTCTTTGACATTGACAATAACACTTTGACTGTTTGTTTGAGTTGGTGAATTTAACTTCACATCTGCCACCGCCATTAAACCTTTTGAAACACTCACGCTTCTATTTTTCGGAATGACATTTTACTTAGAATAAAAAGATGGACGTATTCGAGTATCTCTTCGAATTGAAGCAGAACAAAGTTTACACACACAAAACAATACAAATACATTGACAGAATAGTTCTTTATACAAACAATGGAAAATGTTATAGAATAGCAGTCTTTGCTGAACCAAAATATTTCCATAAAGCAAAAGAAAGTTGGTATAACTGAAATGGTGAAAGTTCTTGACGTTGACAAAAATATAACAACAACAAAACTTACAGATATTTCTAAAGGTAAGTTTATCTTACAATATTATGTCAAAACTGGCGTACTGTCAATATTTGACGGAGAGAAGTCAGTTCAAGAACAACTTACTGACCTGCTGCCAAAATCTGCTCGATGGAAGCTGTCGTTATGCCAATCTGAGGAGCCCCAGCAGGTTTCATCGAACGAATCTTCAAAAGAGCATCTTCCGTGAAAAGTGCTATTGGTTTTGTAAACTTCTTTGCTCTCAGTTCATCTGGACCGTCTCTGTCACCAGTATATTGTATTTGTACAGTACCAACAGTTGAAATACCACCCATAAAGTCTTCTGAGTCAGCAAATGGAATGCCAAGCCAAAAGTTTGAACGGTCTCCATTTGTATATTGAGTTTTTTGACCTCCTGTATGAGTCCATACTTTTCACATATGGCATAATAGAACTTTGCATTTCAGGGTTTTGGTTGTTGTGAAGTTGTTGTTAAAGTTCATAGCATCTAATGTCAAGTTGTATGACCTCATATCCTCAACTGTAGAATATTCTTCTCTTGGATATATTTGCCATCTATGTTTATATGATATTTAATACCGGGGTTGTAGAAACAAGAATAGTCATTTATAGTTCGTCTGAACAGTACAAACATAGTATCTGCATGTTTCATTGCAGTTGTTAAAGCAATATCTGTTCTTGCACCTGGGTCAGCACTTTGGTTTCCAACTTCACCTGCAAAGTCTTTGACAGATATTTGGTGTATAGGGAACATAAGTGGAACTGCAATATATTTGGCAGCTAAAGCATTTGAAATATCTGGGTCCAACATATAGACTGCAAGTCTGCTTTCTATTCTCTTGCATTCAAATTTTTCGCATGTGAACTTAACTGGGTCCCAAGCAGTTCCAGCAGCATTGAAATAATAGTTTACTTCATTGTTGAAGTTTGAGAAACCAAAGTCTAAGTCAACTTTGTCTTTGCAAAAGTCACAGAACTTGGCTCCACCAGTTCCAGCTACAGTAATGCTGAATGGGTCTTGTGTTGGTGCAATGACTAAGTTATTTTTGCTTGGAGTAAGTTCAATAGAAATTTTTTCCTGCCCAGTTTGGCAAGTATCTTAAAAACCTGAAGATGAGGAAAGATGACAAAGGAACTCTAAGTTTCAGTTTTACTTTAGTGGCAGCATTTCCATCTGAACCAGAAAGGTTAACATAAACTCCTGGAACGTTAGGGTCAAGTCTTCTTATTTTCTCAATATTTGCATACTGGTCTGTTTGTTCTCTAGCTTGTGGTTGTACTGAGTTTCTCAAAGCGAACCATTCATAGTTTGCCCATGTTACTGTTTGAACTAAGTCAGAGTTAGAATATATCTTTATCCCATGAAAACTTCTGGAGCATATTGGTATCCGACATAGAAAATTCCATTGCAACCTTTCTTGTCAGACCAACTTGGCAGAAGGTTTTATTTCAATGTCTTGTTCCACGTATAAGAATGAGTTGTCAATAGAAATAATATGAAACCTGTCGCAAGCAATATCTACTGTTGTTGAAGAACCTTCTCCAAACTCACCTACGTTTCCATAAGAAACAGCAGTTGTATATTCGTAAGTTCCAGGAACTATTTCTGACCTTCTAATGGCATTGTCGCATTCGTTATACCATTCGGAAACATTTCCGTTCATGGCATCCAAAACTGTTGGCGTTATATTCTGAGCGGCGTACATTTCATATGGGTAAAAATATAGAATAGTTGGATTTATTTGTCATAATTGTTTCGGACCAAGCTTTACTTTCTTCCTGACTGAGTTTTTAACTCTTCTTTTTCCTTCATTGCCACTACTTTCACTAGATGAAGTTACTTCTTCACTATTTTCACTTTGTTCTACTCTTCTTCTTTGGTGTCGCTTTTGGTAACTTGCCCTCTGCTTCAAGTTGCATCTTTGCCTCATGTTCACCTAGTATGTTGTAAATTTCCCATGTCCTTTTTGCCTTTGGGCTCTGGTCGCCCATCTCAGGTAACCTATATCCTAGAAAGATTTTGTCATAGTTTGTATTTGAGTCTTCGCGTATTGTTTGCATGACTCTTTCCTGAGTTTCCGGTTCAAGCTCTTCAAACAGAGCTTGTCCATATGGAATAAGCTCGTTTCCAAATATATGTTTTTGTAGCCATTCTGGTTTTCTTTCCATGTTACCAATAATATCTTTTGTGAATGGGAAAGCTTTTACCCAATGTTTCAGTCTTGCGTCATTTATTTCTGTAGTTGGTTTTATTTTGTCAAGGAACATGTTTTTCAATACTAACATTTCATTTGGTACTGTCCATTTGAGTTTTCTTAAATATTCATCCCTTCTCGGTTCATTGTCTGCAAAGTAAGTTTTTATGACATTTTGTAAACTTTCGTTTGCAAGGTCATGTACAATAGGTTCTCTTCCTTCTCTCTCCCTAACTTTCTTTCTAAACTCTTCACCAAATATACCATCTCTATGGTTCTGTGTAGTTCTTTGAGATAAATGTTTTAGAACGTCAGGTGTTATATTTCCATCAGCCATGTTCATTTCATACTGGTTCAAAATATCTGCATCTTTCATATCTTTCAATGGCATTAAAGCCGCGCTGAAAATACCAGCTATATCTGGTTCACCATTCACTTCCATTGCGTCTACAACTTCTTGGAATTGTGGTTGTAAGTTTATGAACCACCTATCCGGATTAGCTTTATGACCCCATCTCATTGTAGTTCCATAGTCTGCAGAAACAAAAGTAGGTTTGTTTCCATATTGGTTAGGTTCTGAATGAACTTTAAACAATGTTTCATTTCTATATGTTTTGGTGAAATTTAACCTTTTATTTTCACCGAGTTCAGCCAAAGATTGAACGTTATATGGTCGTAAGTAAAAAGGATTGTTGTATTTGCGTACACTTTCTTTCAGTTCTTCCATTCTATGCTGAATATTTTCATCTGATGTTGGAGTCTTTTGTATGTCGGCGAACATTTTTCGATATTCTTCTACTATGTCAGCCGAATTTTTTTAGACTCTTGGAAAGATTCCATATTCTCCGCATACTCTTGTTGAGGGTCAAGATTTTTCGGCTGTTCCAAATCTTCATCTAGTTCTGTGAAGTTAGTTTCCAAAGGAGGGACTTGTTTGTTTCCTTCAGGCTCTTCTAGCTGTTGTTGCTGAACTATTTCTTCCATGTCTGGTTGTATCTGAACTTTTCCTGTGGAGTTTCTTGTACCTCATCTGGTGGCATTTCATATATTCCGAGACCGTTTTTAACAAGTTCCCTATCTAAGTCATCCGGACTCATAAACCTTTCTTCTTTCGTTCCGTCTCTATTTTTTACGCGTTTCATGAAGAGAGTTGAATTATCATTTAGCTCTGACACCAAATATCTCGGAGTAAATTCATCCATGTCATTTGGATGATATGCTATTAAATCATATCCCTTAGCGAGCTTGTATTTTCCAGGTTTGAAATTATATCCCATTTGGTGCTGAACCATAAAGCTAAATAGGTTCGGGTCAGTATTTCCTTCCTTGAACTTTCTAATAGCTTCTTTATATCTGTCACTAAAGTCAAGAGTATCTGGGTAACCATAATTTTCCTTAAGCATTTTTAAGAATTCTTGGTTTCCTTGTTCTCTACTTCTTTTATGTCCTTGCTCTGTTTGTGGTTGTTGCTGTGCAGTGTTTTGAACTGTTGGTTGTGGTGCAGTGTTTTGAACTGTTGGTTGTGGTGCAGTGTTTTGAACTGTTGGTTGTGGTGCAGTGTTTTGAACTGTTGGTTGTTGTGCTGGATTTTGAACTGTTGGTTGTTGTGTTGGTTTTGGTGCATGCCTGTGTCTGTGTCCATGTGACGATGTAAATGTTTTAGGTAGTCCTGGTGCAGGTGCTTCTCTTGGAGGGTTTGGTGGTATATAAGTTCCACTAGCTAGTATATAAGTTCCACCAGCTGGTATATAAGTTCCACCAGCTGGCACATATGTTCCATCTGCAGCATAATGTCCTACCTGACTTTTCGTTTTTAAGAAAGCATTTACTAGGTCTGTTTTGGTCTGTTGTAACTCTTTTTCTTGACTTTCCACAACAGTTGCTCTAACGGCGTCATAGGCACTTTGAACTGCCTGTCTCGTTGCTGCATCTGTTATTTTCGTCATATTTTGTGCTACTTCTCTTAACTCGTTGTCGAAACCTTCAGACTTCAGTTTCTTTCCAGATGAGAAGTCGTTCACTAGTTTCACCTTACTATGAAGAGCTTCGAAGGCGTTCTTAAAGTCAGCATTCATTAAAGCTTCATTTGAACTGTCTTCATCCGCTTGTATTTTTGTCCTTATTGACCCTATAAGTTGGGCTGCTTTAGCGTTGGCTTGGGCATCTAACCAGTCATTATTAGCTTTTATATATTCTGCGCTTTTCATTGCCTTTTGCATGGCTGCGTCGTTATTTTTACTTTCTTGTGCTAAGTTTTCATACTGTACGGTTTGGTTTTGCAACTGTAAAAGTTTTTCTGCCTTTACATTTGCTTCAACTTCTTTTTTATACTCATCGCTATCCATATATGTCTTCAGGGCTTTTTGTTTTATTTCTTCATCTTTCAGTACTTTATATTGAGTAGTATGGTTTTTCAAATTTATAACATCTTGTTCCATTTTTGCTACTTCTGCTGCTTTTTCTGACACTTTTTTCGCATATTCCTCTGTACTTAGTTCTTTCAGTTGTTCTTCTTTCTTCTTTTTCTCTACGTTTAACTCATTGAGTTTCTTTGTGTGTCTGTCATATTCTAGTTTCTTTTCGTTTTCACTTATTTGTTTCTGTATGTCTATGTTTGACTTTTTGACATCTGTTATTTGATTTTTGAGTGAACTCAAATTCATTTGACTTTGAGGGTTATAAGCTGTTCCGTCTGCAGCTCCACCATAGCCTGCCATTTTCGCTAAAAGTGCCGCTCTTAAACCTCCACTCTGTGCACCAATAACTCGGCTTAAAAGCATAGGGTTGCTTGACATTTGTTGCAACATAGTGGGGTCATTCATCATTTGTTGTTGCAACTGTTGTTGTGGTGTCAGTTTTACTATTGGATGTTTCAATGCTCTCTTCCTCTTACGTATATTCTTACGTAGCTTACGTGGCATTTTAAGTGAAGTTAAAAAGCGGTTTTTGACAGATGTTTATATGACACTTTTTGTTCAGCACAAAAAACTACTCGGTCAAAGTGTTGTCAGTTTTGTAAAATAACCGTCCTATCTCATTCTATAAGGGGGAAAGGCTTCTCAAAGTATACTTCCTTGGAACGCCTGTAACTTTTCCTGTAGCGACGATAGACCCTTACTTGTCCGGACAAAGTTATACTAAACATCTTCAGGGCTAGAGGGCACGAAGTGCCTGGAGGCCCCACTACCTTTTTTTTTTTTTTTTTTTTTTTTTTGATGAAGATGAATTAATGCAATATAGTAATAAACCATTGGTAACCAAACCTCTGAATGACAGCATTAAGAGAGAGAAGTTTTTCATGGGATTTCGTGCTTTGAACCGAATTCAAAAGATAGTCGACAAAGCACTATCTTCCGAATAAGTAGCAAAGCATATCCTACTATACCCTTCATAAAGAGAATATCTTTAACATAAAGTTTATGATATATTTTTGGGCCACCAATTAAGTAGTTATCAACTAGTTTTGGATTAACGTACCCATATTTTCTTTTTTTTTGAATGGAAGGAAATCAATTATTCTGAAATCTTGACCACGTTTCAGCCATTTTTTTGCTTGGTTGCTTGCATGTCCTTCTATATTAGAATCATGTTTATCAATCAATCCAATATTAAAACAATGTGCATCTCTTAATGAGAATATCTTAAAGATTATATCAATGACTGTTAGATCAACAATAGTTTTTCTCTTGAAACATGGCTTAAAGTCTGCAGGAGACACTATTTGCGAATCTATTGTATCAAGCCGAAAGACATCAAATTTATCCTTGACTTTTACATCGAAATTGAATAAATGTTTGCATTCCATTGTAATTGTAATCAACATGTACATGCATGTTTCATCTATTCGAACTTAGATATTTCAAGTTTTGATTTTTTCTTTATAAATCCGAAATGATAATGAATTCGTATGTTAGATAGTGGATATGTTAATAAATATCATTCGATAACGAAAAAATATCGATTCGTAAAAATAATCTCAATTTTCACACAAAAACGACGGGATTGCATGACAAACATGCGCCGATCACACATTTGTTAATTGTGGTGCACGCAGCAATATTCCGAAGTTTTGATGTTTTGACGAATCTCATTTTTCACAGAAAAAACTGAGAGAAGATTTTATATGAATGATTATTACCATTATGAATGGTGTATGTCTCAATATCATTTTTAACAATTTTCGCATTCTATTGTTTGACGTTTTTATTTTTTGAGAATACATTGAAATTAACTAATGCACACATTGCTCATAGACAAATTAAGCATTTGAACTTCTTTATCATCGATTTTTTCAATGTAATTTCAATTTTTACAATCATTTATAAACTATTCCTCTGAAATTGAAATTTGAATTATTCATTCATTTTAACATCACTTCGAATAATGCAAGAAGAAGCAGATGCAGGTCAATCTACTACACCCATATTTAAGTTAGAAATTCCAGAGGATGTTGTACATCACTTTAAGGAAAGAGCAAAAAAGCCATGCAAAGAAGCTAAGGAATTTTACGACAAATATCTCGTTGCTGAAGATGGATATAGGTATCGTATCATGAAACTCCTTTTCTATACCTATATGAAGTATAACTACAGTATTGATAGAAGTAAAAAACAACAATTGAAGCTTCTTGATCCTTACAATCAGGCAATTGCATTGATCGTCATCAAGCATCTTAATGAAATCGAATTTGGAGATGTTAAATTCATCTACATACAAGATATTTTAGATGTGAAGATTGTCGAAGGATGGATGAATATTCTTGACATTGTTGGCGCTGATTACAGACTTTTCAGAACAGGTCAATTGAAGAAATTCGGAAACAAACTCACAGATATCTATTTCATTCTCAATGATGAAATTCATGCAGGCAAATACCCAGATACAGGACTGAAAATCCCAACACCTGAAGAGTACCATAAGTTCATGGGTAACAACCAATTGCTTACAGAACCACCAGATGGATACTGCACCTCATGTCGTATATAATTCTATATTCATGAATATTCCGGCTAAACGATTTATTTTGATTTCCAAAAGCCTTTGTCTTATTTTTTATAAAATTTATGAAAATTGATTTCGAATCTTTAATTAATTCGGATAAAAACAAGCATAAATTAATACAAATAATATTTAAAACAACAAACAATTATATTAATATAAACAATTCTATTGTATCATGTATATTTTCAATTCGAGTAAATATAGCTTGAAATTCCTAGGCAAGCTATTATATAAAGCGGAACAGGCTTTGTAACTGTCAATTCAAGAACATTTTTGCCTACTTTGCGGATTGTAATTATGGATTTTCCTTCCGAGTCGAGTAAAATTGCATTTCTCATAGATGAAAGAGTAAAATGGCCTCCAAATTGAAGCACCCAGTGACCATCCTTAGCAAGCCTTGGTATTTTGGAATGGATTTCGGTCTCGCCGAATTTGACTTGAATTTTTCTTGGTCCATACGAATCTCCGTATTCATTGTTGTACATCAAGCTGCCTATCTCTTCAGTACCCTTCAAAATCTTAAATTCATCCTGTTTGAAATTTGTTGTCATTTTGTATTTGAAATTTTGGGCCTTTACATGAATTTCTGAGCCTTCGTTGATGTATACATCTGGAGTAAGGAATCCAATATCTTTTGCAATTAACAAATCAGAAGTATTTGATTTAATTATGTATTTTTGTTTAGATTTAAGATGCGACACTCGTTTTTCTCTGGAAATAAAATAAGATCCAGTAACTAATTGATTGGAGTAATCATCTTTTGAGGTATCAACATTGATATTTTCTTGTTCTTCCTTTTTTTCTTCAGCTTTTGGCGGGTTTGGGCCAGGATCAGCTACAACTGGTTGTGAAAATTCAACTTCCCCACGGATTTGATCTTTTCCGGAATCTTCAGAAAATTCTAGATCGACAGATTGCTTCTTTTTCCCATTGACTTCTTTAATTTTAGATGCACTACGAGGACTTTCTAATGTTTGTGGTTCAGTCTTTGGTTCTTCGATTTTGGAAGGCTGATTTCGAGTTCTTCTTTGACCACCACGGGTATTTCGCGTTCTAGTTGGCTTTGTTTCTGTTTTGGAAGGACGAGAAGTTATAACTAAATCTGAGGAGCTCTGATCCAATGAAGAAGAAGAGTCCATACAAAAATCTTTTGAATTGAAAAAGTTCAAAAAATTTTACATCCATATCTTAGACTGTTCGGCATATAAAATGCATCAAAAAAATTTACGACTAATTGAATAAGGTTGGCAGTCAAAAATTGCGCACTTGTGTGACATGAAATATTCATTCTAGGTTAGCCAATTTAACAGTAACTTTCATGTTTAATTTGTTCGTGAGCAGGAGAGAATTATATCTTATCAACGCAAGAGAAAATTATTAATCTTGTGTTAAAAATATGTACAAAACATTGCGACAATATAATTAAAACGAAAACACGACATTTTATAAAGTAAATTCAACAAGATTTAATACTTTTAAGATTATTCATTCAAACATTGCCACTCTATTTATGGCTTGATTACCATTTGCCTGCTGTAATTGGTTCTTTTCGGCTACTATTTTGGCCCATTTCTGTCTCATCAGCTTTGCCTGCTGAGATAATTGAGAAGCATCTTTGGAAATCGAATAAACACCATTGACTGAAGATGTAAACTCTTCCGAAGAGAGTAGGATATTTGTTGGATCTATACTTGTCCTTAGGTCTCTAGTATCTGCATATGAGATCTTAGGAGAAGTTGGTAAATTGACAGATGAATCCTTTTTAACAGGAGTCTTAGGAACATCTGAGTCAACATCAAAGCAAGAGCTGGCCGATGATTCTGAAATTGGTGATTCATTTTCAATAATTTGCTTAACAAGTGAATTTCTTTGAGGTGTTACTTTTGATACATAGTTTTCTTCAGCTCTGGCAAGAGTAATAGGAGATGCTTGTGCATCAGTGTTAGATGAGAGCGCATCATTATTTTGAAGAACTTGAATTGTAACATGATGATTAGCATCATCAGAAGCGGGGAAATCAATAGAAGAATCAGAATCAAAATCATGTGGTCTAATAGGAACATTTGTACGCAAGCTAGATCTGCGGGGAGCTTGATTATTTGAAATGTTTTGGGTATTTTCTTCTGAATTATTATGATTTTCGTTGGTTAGAGCCAGTTCTTTTTGATTATTTGGAACATTACTGATGTCGACCGTGTTATTGGCTAAATTAGAATTTGGATCCAACTTCTTATTGATTTTCTCAAGCCAGATAAAGTTATTTTTCGAAAAGATTTCAAGTTTGGCTTCTTGAAGTTGTAGGTCGTCTTCTAATTCCTTACAAATGTTTGTGAAAGAGAGCATGAAAATGGGGCTTAACGTACAGATCAGTCACTTTTCGAAGGGTTCTATTTCAGAAATTTTATGAAACATTCCACAAGCAATGAATAGCCAATTAGAGGAAAATCGCGGAGCATATGATTTAAATAATAATTCTTATAATTTCATTGAGAAATTCAAAGTAATAATGGGAATAACTGAGATAAAATATCAAAGAATGGATTACATTATCATATTATCATAGTAGTAATGATAAAAGATTTGAAAATTATTATTTTAAAAAAAATGTTCAGAAGTATAGCGCATATACATTAAAATTGTTGCATGCTAAGTTCGGTCAACGATAGAAATTGAGTGGAAATTAATCGTTGAGGAAGTACTATTATGTAAAGTAAAAAATGTTGTGGGATTTTTAATATTATATATTATTTTATAATAAAATTTTTTTGAGTCATTTTAAGAAGCACATATAATTTTTTGAATTTAAAAATTAAAGTAGTGTCAAACGAATTTATCACTTAATTTAATACTCAGATTTCTTAAAATTAATGAAAAAAAGGTTTTCTGAGAACTTTTGAGAATGGTTTTCAAATTCCATTATTGAAAATATATAGGTATTGTATGAAATTCAAACTCTATATTTATTAAAATTCTAAATTTTTAATAAAATAACTTTTCAGAGGAATATGATTTTGAATGGTTGATTAATAAGTATAAAAATGTCTACGATTTTAAGGAGGGAATTGTTCCTTATGAGGTATACATCATAACTATATACCTCATAAGGAACAATTCCCTCTTGATAGCTGGGAAACTTTCTCTGAATAACTTATCATTTGGAGAAAGTTTCCCAGCTATCTATTAGAAACTAAAGGGTGTGAGGCACTAATATATAATCAGTGCCTCATAGCCTTTAGTTTCTTATTAAAAACGAGAAAACTTGTTCGAAATGATAAACAATTTCGAACAAGTTTTCTCGTTTTAAGGAGGGAATTGTTCCTTATGAGGTATACATCATAACTATATACCTCATAAGGAACAATTCCCTCTTGATATCCTGGATATTTTTGAATATATTTTTTTAATTAAAGTTCTCAAAAGTATTATCAAAAGTGATTTTTAAAAAATATCTCCAATTAATTAACTAATTAAAAGTATTATATTTTTAAAATGAAATAGTTTTTCAATTTTTTTGAAGGAATTGAGATACTTCCCACGACAATAAAATTGAGAGGTTTACATTATGACTGATCTTCGCATGCAACAAAATCGAAAATGTTTTATAATGATTAACTTATTTGCGTTATTAATTTTAATTTCTATGATATTTTTCGGAATTAATTCATTTTGAAAAATGCAATCAATCTGTATTGCATATTGTAGGGATGCGTTAAACACGCCATTTGACCGGGCGTACATTTTTTTTGTTCGCCCAAAAATTTCGCCATTTGAGAAATTCAAAAATTAAAAATAAAATTTTAATCTTGATTTTTTTATTTTCGTGATTTTTTTGAAACTTACATAAGCGATGAAATACTTTTTTTAAGTAATCGTTTATTATTTATAAATATATCTTAATAAATTTAATTCCTTAAGGTAGAGCGTGTTCAAATTTAAAATCTCATACAATATTTTCTTAATGGCGTATTTTTCTGAGGTCGCCCAAATAAAGGCGAATTCAAAATTGAGAACTCCAAGGCGTATGGCGAGTATTCAAAAAGTACGCCACTTACAAAATATTGAATGTGGATTATCAATTTTTTGGCGTGTTCAATTTCAAATTTTGATATTTATGTTTATTTTATTCAGTATAATGCTAAGAATTAAAATATAAAATTCATAGAATTTTTTCTTTGAAAATATTTTACATTTTTATTAGACCACTCCTCGACTAGTCATCAGGTTATCCTCGGATCATCCTCAGACTACTCCTTATCAGATTACTCATCATCCTCAGACTACTCCTTAGACCCCTCCTCATCAGACTCCTCCTCAGATCTTCCTCCTGAGACTACTCTTCAGACTACTCCTTAGAGTCCTCCTCATCAGACTAGTCCTGAGACTAGTCCTCAGACTACTCCTGAAACTACTCCTCAGATTATCCGCAGACTCCTCCTCAGATTATCCTCAAATTACTCCTCAGTCTAATCCTCAGACTCCTCCTCAGATTATCCTCAAACTCCTCAGACTACTCCTCAAACTACTCCTCGGTCTAATCCTCAGACTCCTCCTCAGATTATCCTCAAACTCCTCCTCAGATTATCCTCAGACTACTCCTCAAACTACTCCTCAAACTCCTCCTCAGATTATCCTCAAACTCCTCAGACTACTCCTCGGTCTAATCCTCAGACTACTCCTCGGTCTAATCCTCAAACTCCTCCTCAGATTATCCTCAAACTCCTCCTCAGATTATCCTCAAACTCTTCCTCAGATTATCCTCAGACTACTCCTCAAACTACTCCTCAAACTCCTCCTCAGATTATCCTCAAACTCCTCAGACTACTCCTCAAACTACTCAGACTGCTCCTCAACCTCCTCAGATTATCCTCAAACTCCTCAAACTACTCCTCGGTCTAATCCTCAAACTCCTCCTCAGATTATCCTCAGATTATCACTTTACATATATATATCGATAACTAAATAATTACTTATTATACTTTCTTTATTTTTTTTTAATTTTAAAATAATATTAATATATCTTTCTACGTTTAATGATGAAAAGAGAAAGAGGAGTAAAAAGAGGAAAGAGAAAAGAAAGAGAGAGAGAGGGAAAAAAAGAGAAAGAAAGAAAGAAAAAAAAGGACGGCGATAATTTTGTATTGTTTTGTTATTCGGCCGAATGGCGTATTATTCTATTTTTAAACGGTCATGGTGTAAAACCGTCGCATCCCTAGCATATTGTAATGCCTAATAAGTGGAATATTGATACCTAATATCTCACGGTTCCATTTTTACAGGTTAGCATTTTTTATCAAATATTATTTTTTTTTTAGTGAAAATATCAATTAAAATGATTGGATGAAATGGGTATCTTGATAATTGAATTGTTTAAATATTATTGGTTGATTTTGTATTTTTAATTTGATAAATTAAGAATATCTTCATTTTTGAAATGATTTCCAGCCATTCAATCGGTGATCAATGTTTAAATATTCTTTTAAACATTAGAATGATCTTTGCTTGCAAAAAACATTATTAAAGATGAGTGATAGCCAAAATTGATACAAAAGTGGGTAATTAGCCAATCAAGATTTCAGATGATTATTTTGAAATATACAATGTAATCATTATAATGATATTAATTTGGTCACTACTTAATTGAATGAAATTTGAATACTATTCAAATTCTGATTGGTTTCTAAAACAGTATATATTTAGTAATAATACACATATAAATTTGAAAATATTAAGATTGAATGAGTAGATAAGAATTTAAATTTGAAGTGTTCTCAATTTTTTTGAGTGCTAATATCTCAATCCATCATAAACTCGATTTAGAAAAATTAAATCTTGAAAACTCTCTTAAAAACAGGTCGATTTTGAGTAACTATTCTATTCCATTATTCTTTTATTCAATAATCCAATTGAAGTCTGAAAAAACATCATTCTCTGTCTTAAAAAGTGAGAGAATATCTGCATCTTCTTCTGTTGATTGCTGGTTATTAGATTCAGTGCTTTGAACCTTTTTTTGTTCCATTCATTTTTTCACGTTTCATAGCCAAAAATCTATTTTTAAAATTTGTGTTCGTTCGTCCTGTGAAGAAAGAGGCTATAATTTTCCATTTAGTTCCAAATTCTTTCACTTTTTCACGGAGTAAATTATCTTCTTCTTCTGTCCATTCTCCATTATTAACATCAGGGCTTAAATAATAATTCCATCTATCTTTACATTGCCTAACATTCCTATTCCCCATTAAATTCGAAACTTTATCCCAGTCAACAGGTTTCATATTGGAAACTATTCTAATAAGCAACTCATCTTCTAATGGAGTCCATCTGAAATGTTTATTCTTACTTTTAGTTTCTTTATGACTCCTACTAAATCTCCTCAACATGAATAATGAAAAATTGACAAGTTTTGAAAGAACATTGTCAACTTTGATGCATCATAATTATGAGTAGGAGCTTGTTATTTTATGTAGTATCGAAAGCCTAACCGATGCATTTCAATCCCTACTGCAATCGTATTGAAATTTCAATTTAAATTTGCTATTGAAACTAATTTGGAATTTCAAAAGTTGTTTATTTCTAAATATACAGAGTGAGTGATTTTTTTTACAAATTATTTTAGCGGTTTTAACCATATTGTCAAAAAGCACGTTTTGGTTTGAAAATTACTTTTCATAAGTTGAAGAAAAATCAACCAATCTTTTACATACTCAGTAATCAATAATTTCATTCTCAAAGCTGAAACTTTATCAATTTGTCTACAAAAATTATATCTTATGACATTTTTACTTAGGAATTAGGAGAAAAATAATTAGAAGTATTTTCCAAGATAGATTTGCTTAGACAAATTGTTTAAATATTTTTGTTTATAAGAATTTTTCAGAAATTCTAATCTATTATTGTATGCTTGAGCAGTTAGCTGCTCGGAATTGATCTGAGATCGCTGTTGACTAATTCTAATCTGGTCTTCATACAATCTATTATAGATAATGTTCAAATCTTCTATTTTACTTTGATCTCTATGTATTTTTTCTTTTAATTCATTAGATTTAGCATTATACATTGCCTCACTTTTAATTGCTTTCGCTACTGAAGGACAATTTCGCACAGCTTCAAGTCTAGATTCAGGATTCAAGAGTTGTTCTGGTGATATTCTCTGGTCAATATTTGCAATGTCTTCAGGATCGACTTGTGCGGGGTTCAATGTAGGAATATCTGTGAACATCATAGCTTGTTCTAAACAATTACTTAATGTGTATAGTGGAATCCAATATTTAATGATTGGAAACTCAACAGCAACTTGTTCCCCATTTGAATCAACTATGTTTATTGAAGGAGGAGTGCTAGGAAATGTTGGAGAATAATTTACTGAAATTGTAAGATCTGGACGCTTTGGAAATCGAATTGATATAGACCCGTTATTACTAACTGATCCTTGAAATTTAGAAAGAGCCTCTTGAACCTGATAAGAAATGATTGACATTTTAAAATTTTTTAAAAATGTGACAGTAAACCTTCCTCAAAATTTGAATTGAAATTTCTAAAGTGTTTATAAAATATGAAAAATAGGAATATTTATAAAAAGGTGAAAGAGTTTATTATTTCTTGGAAAAAATTAAAAAAGATAATCTGTTTTGTGCTTATTTGTTGACGGCTGCAGCAACAGCTTCAGCGGCAGCTTTTGCCTTTGCTTTGAGCTCCTTAGTTTGTTCAGCTTTCTGTTGCATTTCTTCCACTTTTCCTGAATTTGCAACCTGCTCAGCTAATGCCTTAGCTTCAACAGCATGTTGCTTCTTAATTTCGTGCATTTCATGCATTTCCTCGACTTTTCCGGATGCTGCAACTTGTTCAGCAACATTCTTTGCTTCAACAGCATGCTGCTTCTTGATTTCGTGCATTTCATGCATCGCTTCAACTTTTCCAGATGCAGTAACTTGTTCTGCAACATCTTTTGCATTGGCTGCATGTTGTTTCTTGATTTCATGCATTTCTTTCATCTCTTCAACTTTGCCTGATGCTGCAACTTGTTCAGCTAATGCCTTAGCTTCAACAGCATGTTGTTTCTTAATTTCATGCATTTCATGCATCTCCTCGACTTTTCCGGATGCTGCAACTTGTTCAGCAACATTCTTTGCATCAACTGCATGTTGTTTCTTGATCTGATGCATCTCATGCATTTCTTCTACTTTACCTGATGTTGCAACTTGTTCAGCAACGGATTTTGCGGTCTCAATATGTTGCTTTTTAATTTCATGTTTTTCTTGCATCTCTTGAACTTTACCTGATGCTGCAACAGCTTCTGCTGTATTCTTTGCAAGTTCCTTGTTTGCTACTTCAGTCATTCTTACTGATAAATGAAGTAAAAGTTCTCTCTGAAATAATTTGTTAATATCTTTTTATCAAAAAATTAAACGTTTGAAAAGTGAATTGATACATTCAATATTTGATATAATTCGGAAAATTCCCTCATAATATGATTGGACACATGAATATGTGCTTGATTTGTAATAAACAGAAATTCATCAAAAGTGACAGCTCTCAATTTTTTGACATTTGTAAATTCTAAATTGAATGAGAAAAATGAAATAATACTAAGCATAATACAATATTCTAGATTTAATTATAATTAGGGAAAAGTTAGTTTTGAGAGTACTTTTCATAGGCATATAGAATGAAATCTTCTGAAAAATAATATCACATAAACTCATATTATTTTCTAATATATAACTATTTTATATAAAAATCAAATTCAATGATCTTAAAAGCGAAGGATAAACCTCAAAATTTACGAATATAATGAGTGGTAATATAATGCTTATCTATCATAAAACCATATGAAATATCAATTTTTGCTTTACGCCTAATTTTTGACGACAATTAGCAAAAAATGTTAAATGTTAACACTCAGTCCATTTGAATATGAAAAATAAAATTGACTTTGATTAAATGTTTTTATTTATCATGCAATTCTTCTTGCGACCAAAGATTTGAATAAAAGTTCAAAAAATAAGATAGCTTAAAAAATAATATACGGTAGTGTTTACTAATAGATGAATAGTATATAAATTCTATTAAAATGGATTTGATCCAAAAAAATATATAAAATTTGATCATAAATAAAATCGTTTTAAATTACTTCTTCATTTAAATTATAACAATTATTTTTGGTTTTATATTTTTTTGGATCAAATCCATTTTAATAGAATTTATATACTATTCATCTATTAGTAAACACTACCGTATATTATTTTTTAAGCTATCTTATTTTTTGAACTTTTATTCAAATCTTTGGTCGCAAGAAGAATTGCATGATAAATAAAAACATTTAATCAAAGTCAATTTTATTTTTCATATTCAAATGGACTGAGTGTTAACATTTAACATTTTTTGCTAATTGTCGTCAAAAATTAGGCGTAAAGCAAAAATTGATATTTCATATGGTTTTATGATAGATAAGCATTATATTACCACTCATTATATTCGTAAATTTTGAGGTTTATCCTTCGCTTTTAAGATCATTGAATTTGATTTTTATATAAAATAGTTATAGATTAGAAAATAATATGAGTTTATGTGATATTATTTTTCAGAAGATTTTGTGTTCTTCTTCAAAATTTTATTTTTTTTTATTAAAAAGAATCTTTACAAAATATACATTTACTTTAATTAATATTTAAAAACGTGCTCTATCAAAAGTTCCAAAAATTCAATATTTTAGCTTTTCTGAGGTGTCACTTTTGATGAATTTCTGTTTACAACAGATTTATTGTCGGCTTATGAAGATTTTCTCAAAATTTGAGAATAATTGCGTTCAAACAATTCAATCAAAAATTTTTACATTCAATTAGATTCTTTCAAAATTTTCTCCGTATTCCAATCAAATTTCTACAGAGTCCATATTGGATAAAGATTTGGAATAAATATTTTATGATGATGAATGGTTTCGGCCCAAAAATTTTCTTCTCAATTTTTGATATAATTTTTAACCTGCACAGAGCATTCTTTTAATAATGGCCTGAAAGCACCATTTCGTCAGGAAAAATATTTCAAAATTGCATATTTAATTGATATCAAAAAATTATTAGGTTTAAATCAATTAGATCCTATGAGGACCAATATAAACTGGTATAAGATAGAAAATCATTAGAGTTAGATTGTCCAACTCTTAAATAAATTGTCAATTTTATATAAAATGTAATAAAATGAGACATAAATGAAGGATAGCTTCATTTATATATAATGAAGCAACATTGCTTCTTATACAAGTGTGAAAAGAAAATTTAAGAAGTGGAAGTATTCGGTTACGTGACAATTAAAGAATAGAACATCATCTTTTGTGCGAGCGATAACACAATATGCATATGTTTAACCTAATCTTATCATCTTATTTATATAACTATTTAAATTATCAAAAATGATATTTTCGAAACTCCAAAATGGGTGTCGATATTATGGATGCATAAAACACCACATGAGTAATCACTTTGTAAGATCGTTAAATTCGCCAGCGAAGCATGTACATATAAAACTCTAGATTTTCCAAGTTGTGGTGAGCGTCAATTGGCAAATTTATTATTTATTCCGTTTCCCAAACAAAATTTGAAACGAATTGTTAAAATTACACGGAAAATATTCAAAATCGTTAAATATATGAGTGCAATTAATATCAAGATCAACATTTACAAATAATAATAAAAAAATGAGATGATTAGTTCTGAACCGCAAATTGATACAGAACGATGAAAACGGTTTCCAAATTCGGAAATGACTGAGACGCCCGCTGACTCAGGGAAGCTCGATGGACGCCCATTATTGCCGAAAGTATTAGAAGCCGATGACAGACCAACAATTTTCGGTGCAAGACCAGCATCTTACAACAGAAAACCATTCGTTACACCGGCCATTAGTTTCGACCACTTAAGTTACGTCAGTTTCCAAAATATCCTTTGGACAGTACTTTGCGGCTGGTGGGTTTCTATTTGCATAGTAATTACAGCTCTTTTACTTATTTTAACTGGTTTCGGATACAAAATCGGAATTAGATTGTTTGGCTTGGCAAAGTTCGTTCTTTATCCATTTGGCAGATACGCATATCTTGATGACGCTCCAAAGCCAAATATCTTAGGAAGAATATTATTCTACTTTTTCGCTTCAATATTGATCTTCATTCCACTTGTTATCTCAATGACCCTCTCCTGGGAACTCATTTTCTATATTCCTATGGCTAAATTCCTTACTTGCGTTTTATCTCAGTGCTTTACAAACATTTGGCGTCTTAAATTTGCTCGCCTGAAGCACCACAACGCAAAGTCCGGTCGTCTTCCAGTAATTCTTACATACAGCTCCGGCTCATTCTTATATTTCAAATTCTCCATCTTCGGAATGGATGTTCCTTACATCAACCTCTGGCCATTCATCATTGCTACCTTCTACATCGGTTACGGTGCCTCCGAACACATGAAAGAAGAGAATTCCGTCCTATTTACATTTGTTTCCATTTTAGCCACAATTCCATGCATGTATGTCATTGGTGTTGCCACAGAAATCATCTCTGGCCGCTGTGGTCTTGTTCTTGGCTCCTTAATCAACGCTGGCTTCACAGGTCTCGTTGAATTAATTCTTTTCTTCTTCTCCATCAAGAAAGGACTTGGCCAAGTTGTCCAATCCGCTGTCACCGGTGCTTTCCTCATGAACCTCCTCGTCATCCCCGGTTTATCAATGCTCGCGGCCGGTATAAAGTGGAAGGAAGTAAAATTGAATAGAAAAGTGCAATCGGTTTCTGGCACTTTTCTGTTTTTAGCTATTATTGCTGTATTCTTCCCAGGTGTTTTCTACAACATCTACAGACGTCCCAATATCGTCTGCAACGAGTGCAACGGCGAGAAAGGCTATTTCGTCGTTTCCCAAGATTCAGCACTTAATTGCACACTTTGTACGATAACTAACCCCAGTTTATTGGATTCAGACCCTGTTTACAAGACAATGGCCAAGCGATTGATGTACACTACATCAGTGTTGATGCCAATTGTATATGGTGTTGGTTTATTCTTCTCATTGCATACGCACAAATACATTTACGACCAATTTGAACAAGAACAGAAAGGAGAAGATAGTGTTGAAACAATGTCAACATGGATATGTGTTGTTGTTTTGTTAGTTTCTTGTGTTATTTTCTCAATAGTTTGCGAGATCGTTTCTGATGTCATGCCTCCTGCAATTGATAAAATGAAGTTGACAGAGAGATTCGTTGGTTTAGTTTTCTACACAATGATTCCTGCTGTTGCTGAATTCATGAACGCTATTAGATTCGCGTTGGAAGGAAATATGGGCTTGAGCTTGGAAATTGGTAACCAGGGCGCTATGGTCGTTACTTTGATTCAGATGCCTGCTTTGGTCGCGATCTCTGCAATCATTGGAAATAAAACAACTGAGGGACAGTTTACTTTGATGTTTGAGATGATCGACGTTTTCGCTGTCATCATTTCAGTATTGTTGAGGAACTTCATGCTCATGGAGAACTCTATTAACTACTTCACTGGCTTCGCCTTCTTAGTTATCTTCACTTTAATCGCAGTTGTTTACTATTTCGATCCATATTAAAAATTTTTGTCTCTCTTTTCAATTTTTTTTATAATTTTATGTGGGATGTGATATTTTCAAAATCTAGCGCCTAAAATTTAAAATTTTTCCCCTCTTAATTGGACACAAGGTGTTGAAATTCTATGGAAGTTGGCTTAGTCAAATGAAATTATCTAAAAGTTATAGAGGTTACTTTTATTTGCCATACGAAACTTTCTACATAAGGAGATTGGTGCTTTAAGATTAAGGAAAAATTGAGAGAATGGATTGACATCCGAGAGAAGTTACAAGCAAAGATAGTAAAATTCTATTTCATTGTATGTGCATGCAGATATTGAATCAGAAAAGATCCATTTATCACATTGAGATGAGAAATCCATTATAAAGGATAGGTAAAAATTAGCAATAAACTATGTTTTCAATAGAAAAGGTCTTTCCTAAAGATATCAATTTAAAGAAATTAAAAATTATAGTAAATTTTAAATCAAAAATTGTATATTGAGTTAATTATTCTAAATAATCAATATTTCTTTAAATGCGATCAATTATAAAGTAACTGCAATGTCTCTGATGTAATAGATCTTATATTAAATTAAAAAAAAATACAAATAATAGTCATATGTGTATTGCCGATATTCTGTCTAAGTTTGGATAGTTATATTAAACTTAATCTATTGACTAAATGTTATAAAATTTGATGAAAAATTATATGATTTGTTTAAATAAGAAGTTTCGCTAATTGAATATGTATATATAGATGTGTTGAAACAAAATGATCTCATTATTTTAATAAAACAATCATTTGGAAATCAATTTTCAGAAGTTAAGGCTATTTTCTAAATACATTGGCTGTAATCATAATTTTTGTCATGGTAGAATCATTATTTGATGCATGAAATGATGTATGATGTATTTATTTTAATAAAAGATTCTTGTTTCAGTTTGAATAATTCTTGCTAATAAATATGGGTATAGAAGAAGGTTACAAATCCGTTTACAGTATAGATTTTTACAAAACTCATACTGTGGCCCATTGTATCACAGTTTCAATGCAGTCAATTGAAATTGAATAATTTTTTATAGTTTTAGGAATTTAATATATCACTGATATTATCATATTGGTTCCAGACATTTTTGTTAATTTTTTTATCTTTTTAAAATAAGATTGAATTGCAACAACTATGCCTTTTGATATTGGAACAAAAAGTTGTTTACTTTACAAACTGTGCATTTTTTCTGAAGAAATGGATCTCTCTCAAATTTTTGGATGGTAATTCAATTAATATTCTATTGAGTTTAGGTTCTAGGTAAAATGATTGGAATCATAAAAACGTTTGATATATTCACGTAAATTTTTTTATAATATCATTCAACCCGTCGATCTCAGAAATTGAATAAGACCTGTTATAATTTCAGAGAGTTCAGAAATTTGATAAGAAATCACGACCCTTTGAAATCATAACTTCATTTTTCTTACTCATGGTTAATTTCTGCGTCCACGAGTTGATCTATGGCTTGATCATCATGACAGGTTCAATGAATTTCGGCTATACTGTTGGCTTCCCATCGCCATTAGTTCCATTCTTCCAAGATTATTGGGGAATCTCTAAAATGAGCACAACATGGTTCAATGCTATTCTCCCACTCTTAGCCATTGTCGGTCCATTCATCACAACATGGTTATTAACATTCCTTCCAAGAAGATTAGTCTTCTGCATCCTTCAAATCGCTTCTGCAGTTACATACTTGATCATGTTAGCTACAACAAAGAAAGCTTTCGCTCTTATGATCGTTATGAGAGCTCTCCAGGGTCTCATTATCGGTGGTGTTACATCAATTGCTCCAACAATGCTCGTTGAAGCTGCTCCAGCTGGTCTTACAGGCTTCTTCGGCAACCTCAACCAGATCGGCTGCGTTATTGGTATCATTATCATGTACCTTCAGGGCAACTGGACAGTCAACCTTTCCAAGAACGCTACAAAGTGGTGGTCTCTTGAAATTACATGCGCTGTTTTGAACTTTGCTGGTGCTGCTCTTATTTGGGTTTGCCCAGAAACAGGCGCCGTCAAGAAGGAAGAAGATAACAAGGAAGAAGTCAAGAAGGAATCAGTCTTCCAGAAGCAATATCTTGGCAAGCTTCTCGTTGGTATCGCTATGATGTTCATCCAACAATTCGCTGGTATCAACGCCATCCTTACTAACCTCGATGAAAACTTCAAGGAAGTCGGTGCTCCACTCGATTCCGGCATTGCTTCAACAATCTCCGTTGCTGCTCAGTTACTTGCCGTTTTCACATCTGGTTTACTTGTCGACTGGCTTGGCAGACGTCCACTTTTCTGCATCTCAACATGCGGCTGCGGTATCATGCTCATCATCTTCGCTCTCAACTATAACTACGGATGGGCTGACTGGCTTTCCATTGTCGTTATCTTCATCTACATGTTCTTCTTTGGCGCTGCTCTTGGTCCAATCCCATGGTTCGTTGTTCCAGAACTCTTCCCAGACTCCGTCCGTTCAATGGGTGCTTCTATGATCTCAATGGCTAACCAGCTCTTCTCATTCATCGTTATCTTCATCTTCCCATGGCTCAAGGGTTCAACTGATGCTAACGGCAAGAGAACATCCGGCATTGGTCTCATGTGGACATCCCTCATTTTCGCTATCATTGCTATCCTTGGTGCTGTTTTCGGCTTCTTCTACATCACAGAACCAAATGAAAAGAAGGAAGAAAACCTTGACTGGGATGAGAACAAGGAAGACAGTGAGGTTAAGCAAACAGCTTAAGGAAATTAATTATTTTCTTTTATTCCTTATATGTAAACTCTTTTAATATTTGTTTACCTAAATATATGATTTACTTTTTACTTTCCAAGCTCTATTAGCTCTCAATTCGCTAATTATTGTTCAAATTTTTGAAGATAAAGAATAATTATTTTGAATTCTGATGAAAAGAATGTATGATTTTGAATGTACTTTAACTCTACTAATGATTTGGAATGTTCGAAAGTCTATTATCATCGTTTGAATAACTGCTCAAATAAAAATTTGTAGTTGAGCAAAACTAAGATGAGAATCTCCTTTTCAAGGATATTATAAATGTTGTTGTATAAGTTATAACTCCAAAAATTTGAGCAGTATCGTCACTTTTGATGCGAAAGAAATAATTAATTTCGAAACGATAAAAGTGACATCGATGCTTTCCTTGTTACTTTATCTAATTTCTTCTAAGTTTTTATCGCTTGATGTGGGGTCTGCATATACTAAAGGATATGTTTTTGAGGACTCCGAATCGCCAGAGATATCTTTAAACTTACTTGGAAGAAGATTAACGCCAACGTACATCGGCTTTCGTGCAGATAAGCAATTCAACTTATCAGGCGAGATACCCATATCCCCAAAAGAAGGACGTCTACTGACAGCAGCGATAGGTGATAAAGCTTATCAATATTTGAAGCATCGTCCATGGATGGCAACAGGGCATTTGTTTAATTTCATCGACATGCTACCAGAAAAGCAAGAACAAATTGCCGCCCGCTTCCATGTTAACACATCTGCTGCAAGACTTCCAATTCACAACTTAATCTCGATGTATTTTCAATTAATTGCAAGAGAACTGCTTCCTGATCAATCCGTTACAGGAATATCAGTGTCTGTCCCTACTCATTTCACTGTAATTCAAAGAGAAATCATTCGAAATTCTATTAAACAAGCAGGAATCTACTGTGATGTCATTTGCGATGAAGCAACATCAGTGGCAACAACATATACTGTTTCTAGAACAAAATCTTTTTATAATAACAGCAAAGACGTTTTATTCGTTGATATCGGCGCATCATCAACAAAAGCATACGTATACAACTTCAGGATGAAGTCAGATGCTGCTTCTCCAGAAATTACAAGAAAATCCTACGCTTATGACGAAAATTTCGGTGGAGACGACGTAACACATAATTTTGCTAATTACTTAATCGAACATTACAATATGGGCAACCTTACAACTCAAGAATATCACAAATTATATGATGTTGCTGAAAAAATTAAAATAAAATTGAGTTTATCTCAAAGAGCAGAAGAAGCTTTCGACTTACGACCTGGTGTAGAGTATAACATTACATTCCTCCGCCAAGATTTCATCAAATTCCTCAAGCCATTAAGAGATTCAGTATTAAATGTAATTAGACTGGCTTGTAGGCATTTTTATCCACAAGAAGTAGAAATTCTCGGTGGTTCATCGCGTATACCGTACATTGCAGACTCAATTCGTGAAGCTTTGCATATTGTAAATCATTCTTTGAATTCTGATGAGGCAATAGCTTATGGAACTGGTACTGTTGCACAGCAAATACTCGAGAGATCATTATTGCGTCCTTTCATCTATCAAAATAACTTCAGTTCCCATTCAATTATTTTAAATACTGAAGATGATCACTTCCCTCTTGTTGAATACGGCCATCCTTTGAACAGTAATCTTAAATTTGCCGGAATAGCGTCATTCATACCTATGCAGTACACATACGGCTTCCCAGACGGTATTGAACATAGATCATTGTTTTACGCCATTTCGAATCGCAAAAATTTTCAGTTTACAACTATTGAATTTTCAAATGAACCATTTGATATATATTCTGTTACAGGATGTATGTCAGAAGATGATGAAAGCACATGCGAAGAGATTGGTTTTTCAATTCTTGCAAAATATATACAAAATACGACAATCCACGGTTCCGTTATGGGCAGATACGAGAATGAGCGTCGTATTTTGATTGCAAGGAAGGAGATTGAAACCCTTGCAAGCAGATCTCTTCGAGAAATCAAGTTCAACATGACGATGAAGTTATTTTCAACAGATTTCGAAAGAAAAGACATCGAAACCATTGCCAAAGACTCAATGACATTCCTTAATGATAACCAAGAAGAATACGATCCAGAAATATTCGAAGAACAGCTCGAAAACCTGAAAAACAAAACAAACATTGTTTACAACAGAATCCGCGAGAATTCTACTATTTCGCAAGTCATGACTAAGCTATACAAACTTGTACAAGTAGCAGAGAACTACGCATTCTTGGAAGTTCCAATCAACAAGTCGTTTGTTGGTCAAAAGAACATCGAAAGAATCCAGGAAAAAGTCAATGAAACGAAAAAGAAATACAACGAGTTTGCTGAGATAATTAATAAGTCTCCTATGAATAAGGATAGACCGGTGAAGGCATTAGACATCAACCAAATAGCAGATGAGCTGATCAAGGAATTGGACAGAATCAGAAACATGAAAGAATACAAGAAAAAAGAAGAAGAAAAGAAAAATTCTAAAAAAGGATTTTTTACGGATTTGTTTGGAAAAATAAGAGATAAAATATCCACAGATACAGACTTCGTTCCTGAAGTTGATATAATAGAAGATGATGCTTTGTAATTTACTAAATTATGTTTTAAAAAAAATAAATTTTTATGATTTTATATTATTAGTTTATTGAGAATAATATATTTCATGTAGCATGTGAAAAAGGAAATCTTAGACTTGTTAAATCTCTCATTAAAAATGGCTGTGATAAAGAACATTCCTATTATAGAAAAACTCCACTATATTATGCATTAGAAAAAGATCAACTTGAAGCAAAGGATCAAAATGAAAGAACTCCACTAATTCATGCATCAAGAGAAGGTCATCTTGAAGTTGTTAAATATCTTATCTCAATTGGATTTAATAAAGAAGCAAAGGATAATGATGGATGGACTCCACTTATTTGGGCATCAGATTTTGGTCATCTTGAAGTTGTTAAATATCTTATCTCAATTGGAGTAAATAAAGAGGCAAAGGACAAAAATGGAAAAACATTATTCGATTATGGAAATAATAAAATGAAAGATTATCTATCTTCATTACAATGATATAATGCAGCTCTTTTTAGTTGATAATTTATATTAAAGCGTTTATCTTTAAAACTTTCATATATTTTATTTTGAAATGATTTTGTAATATTAGAATATATATATCAAAGAAGATAAGAATCATATTGATAACATGGTTAATTTGGTAGTTCCTTTTACAAGTTTGTTGGGTCAATCACCTCAACTACATTACACTTGGGCGGAGTTCTTCCGATGCCTCCCATCAAGGGAGAGACTTCGTAAGAACTCCGCTTTATTCGATTAATTACAGAATCAAAGGCCTTTTGGGAACTAGGAAAGAGTTATTAGAGTACTTTAAGGCAATGCTCATTACGAAGTCTCTCATCGAAAGAGAGATTTCGTAACGAACATTGCCAATTTCGAGTAAATTTACCCCCGACCCTCGGAGGTTGAAGGAGTAGTGTCATAGTGGACGAGTAAGCGTGTAGCATTCCACCATAAGATTTATGGCACTTTTGTACTTTGGCGGGAAATAATTTTGCGAAAAAAAATGAAAATGAAAATATAAGATCACCATATGATTCACCACGACCATTTTTAATTTTATTGGAAATTGAACGACAGAAATTGAGAAACTAATGTTTTCAAAAATTGCTATGAGAGAGGGTCAAAGTTGCTATTTGTCACTTTTCCACAAGAATATAATGGGGAAAAAGTTATCATATAGTTGATCTCATTCACTGAGGTGAGAGATGCATGTAGTGTAATGTGATAAACAGTTGGATTGCTGCTCTAAGTCCTAGGTTCGAGACACATTGGCTTCATTTTTCTCTTTTTTATTGACGTAAACTATTCAATTTTTGTGTTCTCCATTCAAATTTCAGAATTTTTTTTGCAGATTTCACGCTACATTCGAAGTTACCTTTTGTAACAACCACCACTGCCTACGAAAGACGAAATTGCTATATTTTGTAAAAAAAAATTATAAAAAGATGAGTTCTTCTTCCTCAAGTCCTATTAAAAAGAAGAAAGGAGTATCTCGTCCATCTTTAGTTATCCTCTCAACAGTGGATCAGCCAACACCTTACCAATTAAAGAAATTTACTTTAAAAGAACATACTCCGAACTTTTTTTCGCTTCAGACAGTCGGAAATGACATAAGAAACAGAGATATACAGTTATTTAACGATGAAGAACCATTACCAGAGAATTTTTCAAGTTTAAATCCTGAAAATTCAAAATCAGATAAAAACACGCCAAATAGTCCTAATAAAAATGGTTCTAGTGGATTAATACAACTCGAAGATGACGATTCTTCGGACGGAATCAATTCACCAATACAATCTCCAAAATCTTCACCGGCAAAATCGAAGATTCTTGTGTTTTCCAAGAAGTCCCCTCAAAAGGATCAAAACTATGATTCAGAGGACGAGTACAGTGATGATTCCGATGAAAATAATTCAAATAAAAATTCATCTTCTCAAATTAAGCCTCCTCCGCTTATGCAGAACGTTCCTAAATTCGAGAAAAGAAATAAAAATGGCGAATCCGCAAAGAAAAATACAAAACAAACAAGTTTCAAAGATATCAATTCATTTCTCGCAAATTTGGACAGAATTACACGTGAATTTGCCAATGATTCACTACAGCAAGGCGATAACAAGCTAGAAAACTACATTTGGCTCTCTACAATCTGGGCATATGGTTTTGGTGACGAAAACTACAAGAAACTAAATGAAGTTCTTAACATTATTGCTACTAATCCAGATGATCTTGAGAAATACAGCTTCGGAAACCTTTGTCGCGCTTCATATGACCTTAAAAACATGGGAATTGAATCAAATGGCGAACCAATCATTCAATCAAACTACGCCATTAAAGGTGATCATTGTTCTGGTAAATCAACGTATATTGCAGATTCATCATTACAATATTTGATTTATTCAGCTGCAGCACAAGACTATGAGCGTTTGTTTGTAGTCACATTTGATTTCTCATCCATGGACGAGAACACTGATATGTGGACTTTGTATCATTACATTGTAGAAAGGTCGTTAAACGCAATTGGCTGCCAAGTACCGGAAATCAGCCTCAATTTGTCATCATTACGTAAGGCATTTTGTCAAATAGCCGATCGTGTACCTCCTAAGATCAATATTAAGCCAAATACGTCTGAAGATATCAAAGTTTGTCTTAAAAAGGCACATGACTTCATAACAGAACTGTACCAGTTATCAGAATCTAATGAAACAGAGTTTATGCATAGAGTTGTCCGAATTCCTTTATTTTTGTCTGAAATTTTTAATTTTAACAGAGTTTTTGCTGTTGTTGATGATCTTAATAACATGAATTTCGATTTACACCTTGACAATGATTACGAAAACGCAATAAACCTTTTTATTGAGTTCCTCAATGAAGTTGAATACATATGTTGCTCAAAATCTGGTGAAATTTTCGATTTTCTCACAAATTTGAAGAAAATCGTCAGAATCGATTCAAATGTGAAAAGAATCAAAAACTATGATTCTAAAGACATTTTTAATGTTTTACGAAGTCCAGGCGATCTCGGTTCTACAGCACCAAGTGTTGCTACTTCTGCATTCTCAGTTTTGGCCGATCCAACTACAATGAAAAACAGGTTTATTAATCATCTCGATACAAACAACGTTTCATTTGCCGAGAACTTCTACGATGTCTGCGATGACCACAGCAAGCGTAAATTATCACGAGTTGCTAGACTACAATCAGCACATAAGCAAAACTGGCTGACAAACGTCTGGCGACTTTACGATAATAGCAATATTACTGACGAAAGTCTTATCTCTCTGTTTAAGTACCATGCTCATGCCGATTATTCGATAGATCCTCTTGACGGCGGCTTAATTCAAAGTGCGAAGGATACCTTGCGTAAATTCATGAGATCAGAAGGTGGAATATCATTCTACGTAAAGACAGTTATCACAGGACCTCCGAAATCAGGTAAATCTACATTCATTAAGACAGTTTTGATGAGACATTTCACAGATCTCATTACAACAGGAGTTTTTAAGTCAACATTCATAGTTACTTATGATATAAAGAGGATCCCTAACTCACCCACTGTATCTGATTTGTATCATTTCTTCGCCAATTCTACAATTTCTGCATTACAAGTTCAAAGAGCAGATATTGGTCCATACTTCCCTTCTATTGTGAAAGCATTTGATAATATCGAAAGTGGAGCACGTCCTAAACTTCCTAAACCATTGACTACCCAGAATTATATGAGAAGGCCTCTCAAAGATTTAGAAAGTTTGTTGTGCGAATTATATGATTCTCATAAAAGTAACAAAGTGAAGTTCCTCCAAATTTCAGTTGAACTTCCACAGCGAATTTCTGATATTTTCCAGTTTTCTAATACATTAATGATATGCGATCACTTAGATTTTTCTGATTTCGAAATCCAATGCTATGAAGAAGATTCTAAAACAAAAGTTAACATTTTAAGCCTTATCAAAAGTCTTATTTCGAGAACACAGTTTGTTGCATCCATGGATTCTAATTCCTGCCATAATATGCTCTCTCCTTTGAATGGAAACGACACAGATTTATCACATTCTTGCGAAATCGTCAATATTGCCGGAATGTGCCAGGCATCGACACCTTCAGACATTTTAGTCCATCTTTCAGACGGTAAATCCTTCAAAATCACTAAAGAACACACTGGCGGATACCCAGCTTACGTTTGGATGTTTGAAGACGCAATTAAAGAGATTTCTTCAGTTCAGGAACTAAACGGTGTCCATCAGGAGATCGGCCAGAAGAAACTGTCTGCAATTATTAATAATTTGATTAAATCTATGTTCGAAATGCAAGAAGATCAGAAACTTGATATTCAAAACTGCTCACTGATAATGACCAACTAATTTTTCTTTTATTTTATTTTCTTTGTTTTATTTAAAAGTAATTTTTAATAATTTTTTTTCCTTATATATTTTGAATCATATCTGGAAAAGAGCATATTGGTAGCGTTCCAGTTGCTCAGAAGTTGAAGAAAAATTACCGTATTCATAGCGTTAATTGTGGTGTGTCAATAAACGGGTCAGTAGTTGAAGCCAAAATCTCTGTCGAACCTTCTTTTTTCTTATCTGCAGTTGTACGAAGTTCGAACAAAAACATGTTTTGTTGGAAAGTAAGTGCAACCTTAAGTTTTGTTAGAATGGAAATAGTATGTTTGATAAAGTTAAATTTTATTCACATGTTGAAAAAAAATATTATAGATTGTTATTATTTTGCACCTGATCTAAGAAGAAGATTAATGATCTTCTTATAGTTTTCATTCTCGTTTTGTTTCTCTTTCGCATAATCAAGTGCAGTTTTTCCAGCATTGTTTTTGTCACTAAGATTGACACGGATTGAAACTAAATATTCAACAACTTCAAAATGACCTTTCTTTGATGCCCAATGAAGTGAAATATCATTATAATTTGTTTTATCATTTTTATTACATCCTATTTGAATCAAATATTTAACTACTTCAAGACGACCATTATATGATGCAATAATTAATGGAGAGAATCCATTATTATCTTTCTCATCTGGATTTCCTCCAACTGAAACAAGATATTTAACTGTTTCAAGATGACCTTGCTGCGATGCAATGTAAATACAATTTGCATTATCTTTTTGTTTAGAGTTTGCATCACAACCAATACTTATCAAATATTTAACTATTTCAAGATGACCTTCTTGTGATGCATTAATTAATGGAGAGAATCCATTATTATCTTTCTCATCTGGATTTCCTCCAACTGAAACAAGATATTTAACTGTTTCAAGATGACCATTCCATGATGCAATGTAAATACAATTTGCATTATCATTTGATTTAGAGTTTGCATCACAACCAATACTTATCAAATATTTAACTGTTTCAAGATGACCGTATGATGATGCACAAAGAATTGGATTAAATCCATATTTTTCCTTTCGCCAATTTTTATCAAAACCAACTCCAATTAAATATTTTACAATTTCAAGACGTCCTTTTAATGATGCTTCAATTAAACAATTGTTTCCGAATTCATTAATTGCATTTCTATCACAACCTCCTTCAATAAGAGATTTTGTTAATTGAAGATCTCCATTAGTACATGCCATAATAAGTGGAGTATTTTGATCAGAATCTCTCTTTTCACTTAATCCAACTGCACATGAAATAGACATCTTCAGTTTATCATCTTTATCTGAAAGTTCTTCAAGGAAATTGTAAACTGAATCAAAATCATTTGAATTTCGCAATTCAGAAATTTTTGCAAATTCATTTATAGATTGATTTAATTGACTGTTTTTGTTATTAAGATTATATATTTCGTCTTTGTATCTTGAATTTTCTGTTTGAATTTGATTAAATTTGTTATTAAGATTAGATATTTCGTCTTTGTATTGTTTTCCTTCGTTTTTGTATTGGTTGATTTCATTTTCCATCGTAGCGATCTTTGATTTGAGGTTTTGAATTTCAGATTTTAATTGTGTGACTTCTTCTGAATCTGAATTAATTTTTGCGTTGTATTTCTTAAGGTAATCAATTAATGAACGACAAGATTTGAGTTTCAGGTTCTTTTTGTAGCAATTAAGAACGTTAATCGCGTCTTCGAATGAATCAATTAAAACATTGCATTTCCGAATAAAACAAAATAGTTTATGTGTACTGTATTTTGATTTACCTTGAGAAAGAAGAGCATTGAAATCGTGAGAATTAAGTTTGACTTTTTCTAATACTTTTGGAATGTCATCTTTATCTACAATATCATAGAAATTCTCTTGTTCGATATATGTTTGAATGTTGTTAGCGATATAATCAAAATCAACAGTCAGACCTTGGCTCATCGAAAAAAAATTTTGAAAGTCGTTTTCTAAAAATCCTATTAAATTCCAGTGAATAATTGTAGAAATCAAGATTTCTCAATAAATTTTAGAAGAACATCTATTGTTCATTTGCAATTTTTAATCGAGAGAACACAGGAAAGTGATTTCGAAAAATTTTAAGGGATCACTGCCTTAGTGAGTCCTGTATATCCTACAAAATCTGACATTTGTAAACTCCAAAATCTGACATTTGTAAAGTTTCAAATCTGACACTTTGTAAATAGTCCAGGTTGTCAGATTCGTCCTTGGCGCCAAAATTTTAAAAAGTGCCATAATCTCATGGTGGACTACAGCTGGTGTCGCCGCCGACTATCCACTTGCTGGGATGCTACGCAGCCTTTGATCTGGCCAATCTTAGTGCTGCTCCATCCACATCAGCAAGTGATTTCGGCGGGGGATCTCCAATCGGTCTTCCATGAGGGTTACGCAAGCCAGAAGCGCAATACCTGTGCAGTCTAGCTGCTAGGATATAGTAGCTAGGCTGTGTAGGTATTGCGCTTCTGTCGATATTAGTTATACGTTATTGCCCTCGTTGACTATAGTACTACTCCCTTAACCTCCGAGGGTTAGGGGAGTAAATTTGCTTGAAATGGGCAATGTTCATTACGAAATCTCTCATTCGATGAGAGACTTCGTAATGAACACTACCTTAAAGTACTCTTACTACTCTTTCCTAGTTCCCAAAAGGCCTAGGATTCTGTAATTAATCGAATAGGGCAAAGTTCTTCCAAAGCCTCTCATTTGATGAGAGGCCTCGGAAGAACTTTGTCCTAGTATAATGTAGTTGTGGTTTCTAACAATTTATGTGTCAGAGAATGTACTTTTACTCGAATAGAGCAGAGTTCTTCCGAAGTCTCTCATTTGATGAGAGGCCTCGGAAGAACTCTGCCCTAGTGTAATGTAGTTGTGGTACTTGGCCAACAAAGAGCGAGAGAATATGTCTGTAATTCGTTTGTGCTGAAGTTATCTGGATTTTCCTCAAATGAGGAAGGAAATCCAAAAAAACTTCAGCACAAGTTAATGCAGATGTGGTTCTCTGGCTCTTTGCTGGCCAGAGAACGAATAAAAATTTTTTGTTGTGAGTAGGCTCGATGCATACCTACTCACTAAATCTTCATTATTTACGATTTATTTTATTGTGAAATCTAGTTCACAAGTTAAAGAATATTTAAACTAGAACAGCATTTCTCCATTCAAAATCAAAAACCAAATTTTTTCAATAATGAAGATATAGCCTCTCTATCATGTTTAAACATACTGTATTCCATAAAAGTGAACTTCTGATCGGTCAGTTTTGAGAAATATTGAACTGACGGTCCTCGGTGAAAAAATGAAAAAAATCCATTTTTTTCGAGTTTTGGTCGATTTTCTTATTTTTAAAATCTGAAACGGTAGAAAGATAGATAATGATGTGTGTGTATGGTTTAGTTATGATAATTCTTGGAAATATCAATTCTATCATAGTGAAAAAGTACATTTAAGTGCAAAAAATTGAATAGTTGTAAACTAAGGCAGTGAGCCCTTAAGGCCAAAAAAGGAGTACCTGAGTATATTATTTCTGCTTTACCCGATCGTTAAAAAAGAATTGATTCACGTAATAACGAAAATATGCAGTATATCTCAATATAAAGGGAGATCTTTCTCTTATATTTTCCAAAAAAATGAAATCTTTTATTTTTCATATCAAATTTTAAAAATCAAGATTTTTTTGGAGATTTTCAGCAAAATTCAAAACGGTATACAGATGTCATTTTTGGAGATCAATCGAAATATCCTCTTTGTTTTGATTTTTAATGACGATTTGAAAATTAGGAGTTAAAGATATTGCTGATATCCTCTTTATCTTGAGATATGCTGCATATTTTCGCGTTCTGAAAGCGGAAAACGAATTTTTGGCATGCGGCGATTCTAAATCACGCGGAAAAATCAGGCTTTAATAAGAAAATAGACGATTTACTTAGTAATAAAGTATATAGAAGCATAAAAATGAGGAACTATTTCTTCATACCAAAATAAAAAAAACGTATATTTACAGTGCACATACCTATACTGAAACTGTGCACTCTCTAATATTTTACTCGCTATCTGGCCGGTAGATACCTAGAAAGTTACACCACAATTAACTAATGCTGAAGTTTTCCGGATTTCCTTCCTCAATTGAGAGAAATCCGGAGAACTTCAGCAAAAACGAATTACAAACTAGTTCTCTCGCTCTCCCTGGACCCAAGAATATACACGCATTACACTAGAACAAAGTTCTTCCGAAGTCTCTCATTCAATGAGAGGCCTCGGAAGAACTTTTGCTCTTTTCGAGTAAATTTACATTTTTCGTTCAATAGAGAGTCAGAAACTACAAGCCCATTACCTTGGAGTAGAATTCCTCCGAGGCCTCTCATTGAATGAGAGACTTCGGAAGGACTCTACTCAAAATGTAGTTTCTTTAGCCTTTTGTAGACCAGGGAGCAGTAGTAAGATGCTTTAGGGCCAAGCTCTCCCGAAGTCTCTCATGCAATGAGAGGCCTCGGAAGAACTTGGCCCTATTCGAGTAATTGCGAAGTATCTGACCTTTTAGGAGCGAGAGAGTGGTAGTATAAGTGAATGCGTGCAATAACGTATAGCTAATATCGCTAGAAGCACAATAATTATGCGGCCTAGCTACTATACCCTAGCAACTAGGCTGCACAATTATTGTGCTTCTGGCTTGCAGGGCTCTTATGGAAGACCAAACGGAGGTCTGATGCTGAAACCACTTGCTGGTATGGATGAGGCAGCACTATGATTGGTCAGAACAAAGGCTGCACATCATACCAGCAAGGGGATGGTTGAGCGTGACTCCAGCTATGGTCTTCCATATAGAAATGACACTTTTGCGTTTTTGGCGGGAAAGTTTTGAGCAGTTGCTTTGAGCTAGCTCATTCTTACTACCATTACAACCCATTCATACTGCAGGTATAGAATTTAACCTTTTTAGGCAAAATTTCAAATTTCAAATTTATTGAAATTCACATTTTATTAATATAAGCGATATCATATCTAAAATTACTCTATTTGTACATAATATTATACTTCTATAGATAAGCTTTTTTAAATTCTTTTTGGCTTCGCCCATTTTTTTATTTTTTTCTTGAAACTCATTGAAAATTTTCAATGTGGGATAGTGGGAATCCCAAACAGCAAGCAGCCCTAGTGGATTGGGGAAATCCCTACATCCTTAGTTTCTATAATTAATTTATTTTTCTAGCTTTATTTTTCCATTAAAAATAAAGAATTGTAAATAACGTTTTCATTTATTATAAATTTTGCTTTGGCAATCTCTTAACTAGAAAAAATTTGGGAAAGTTCACCAAGGGAGACTTCATTCCCTATATCAAAGGTGAATGCTTTCAGTCAAAAAATCCTCGAAAAATTGAAATGTTGAAATCGATTTTCTTCTTTCACTTAATATCGATTGTTTACAGTTATCCATATCGCATACTATCGAATTCTAATATATTTGAACATACCATAAATAGTTTTTGAAACTTATCAGATATTTCGCGCAATTTAACATTACTCCAACTATCATACGCAGTCATTGTTACGAAAATATCATTGTAAGAAGGAATAATTAATATAATATAATATAAGATCTAACGATTTATTTACCTAATTCTAAAAATATTTTTAATTACCCAGATTTTCCTTACTTTTACCACCTCTCTAAAGCTGGGGACACCGCCTATCGTTGGGAGTAGCTATTAAATAGAACCACCAAGGGTATTTTTAGAACTGCTGGTGTAGTGTAGTGGAAACATCCAACATAATGATTTATTATGCCAAGGTTTGATTCCCATTTAGCCTTTTTTTTTCTTTTTTGGATCATGAATTTTTTTTGGGTCACTATAAGATTTGTTTCATGTTCTAAATCTGCTGCATATGTAATCTATTTTTATTTACCTATTTTTTAAAAATCTATTGGATTGCCAAATTTGAATATATTTAAAATCATAAAAATCCAAAAAAACTATAAATATATGTTTTATGCATAGTGCCGATACTCAAATATCAGATTACTTAGATCCATGAATAATATCCAAATTTTTTTTCTTAAAATTAAACTTCAAAACTTCTTGCAATCTTATTCTTCATCTATTGTAAATTTTTAAAACCATTTTTTAAAATAATTTTGCGTAAATTTTATTCTCATGTTGTTTTAATCGAAAATTGATACATTTTCAAAAAAATAATATTGACTTATGAAATTCATTTTTAAGGTGAAATAGTATTGTTTTTATTAAAGTATATGAATAATATATAAAAAATTAATGAATAATATAAGCAGATTTTTAGTTTACAAAACAAATATGAGCAATGCAATTTCAAACTTTTGCTGGCAATTTCGATATTGCTCAAGTTTGTAGTATTTGTGATACCTATAACATCGGCTTAATCAAGATTCGATTTTTCTTATGAGTTATTGAGAAAATTTGATTGCAATGAGAAGGATTTCGACGTTTTTGATAAACTAAGAGCTGAGCTTTAGGGGTTCAGTTCATTTATGGCTGTAGTTTGATGCGTAGATCTCTTTTTTATTGTAAATTCTTTCAGCATGGAGATCGAGAATGAATCTTTTGAGAACTTTATGAGTTTTTACACCCGTAAAGAGGTCCTTCGAGGAAAGATAGTCCAGACTACATGAAGATGTGGGTTAACCAAAAAAATCCGATGGTTTCCCCATATTCATGTAGATCTTCGAAAAAATGAGCACCAAAAAAGCCAAAAAAATAGGCTTTTTATTGGATTTGTACACTAGATCAATAATCTATTTAGGATCTGACACTCTTTTTAGCCAGAGATATGAGGTCCTTTCTAGGAAAACGATCTATTCATCCATAAAAAAAATGAATTATCGTTTTCCCCAGAAATTACATGGGGAGTGGTAAAAGTAAGGAAAATCTGGGTATAAATCCTTTTTTGTGCATATTTTATATGAAGATGCAGAAAGAAAAACAAAAGGCGTTTTTTAAGAAATATCTAAAGGCAGCCTAATCAATAAACAATTGGGAGAATGTCTATTTCGAAAAAAAATAATCGTCTTTCGGTCTATTTCGAAAATAATCGTTCCGATCACGACGATAGGGGGCGAAATTATTAAAACCTGCATTTTGAAATGAATGAATATATGTATAGATCAGAACTCATCTAGGCCGAGGCAAATATATAGTAAAGGAAGTGTTCAAGTTCTTATATAAAATCATAATTTCATTATATATGATATGTATTGATGATTGTTTGAAGACTTACTAAACATATTCTATATATCATAATTTTATATTGAAAAACCCTATAAAATGACAATTTGTGAGTTTTCATTACATTAATCATGGAAAAGAAGTTTTTATGGGATAATGACCCTGTAATTTTTCTATCATTCTGATAAATAAGTATGCTGAAGTGAATATATGAAAAAAAAAGCACAAAAAATGATAAAAGTAAATTTTTAGTCATAGTAAGTAAGAAAGTAATAACACTATTTTTGTTTATCGTAGCAGTGATCCGGATTACTAGTATAAGAACGATTTTAACAAAAATAGAATGTAAAATTTCTGAAAATCGAATTTTTTAAAGTAGTTGCTTGGGAAAATATATCTGTAGTACAATGTGGGCATAAATGTAGCTGATAATGAGAATATTTTAAAAAGATATTTTGAATCTGTAAATAAGTTTGAGATTCAGTTATTGGTTGTATATTTGAGTTATACGTTGTTTAGTTATTCGAAATTTATAAAAGATTTCACTTTCGTTAATTTATGAATCAAAATATTGTAATAGTGGATAATTTCGTTTGAGTTTCGAATTGAATGTAGATTGCAATTGTAGTGTTGATGAAATGATGTATAATTTGGTTAATTTGTGAGAATTTGTAATAATAATCGAGAAATTTGAATTTTAAATGATTAAATAGAGATGTGTTGGTCAATATAATACGTTCTGAATCAGCATTGATGTTCCCGCTCTCACCTTTGACAGTCAATGAATACGTTATCAGCATTCAGCCATATTCATTAACTATAAATGAAAAGAACAAGTAGAAATTGATGATATATGAAAGAGTGATATTGATGATTCTTGCTAGTTCCTCATTATTTTAAAGAAATTGACATTATTTTATATTTTCACTTAAAAATAGGTAAAATCATAACGACATAACGTAAAAATGACTTTTGAAATACTAAAAACGTGATTTAATGATATGAAATTTCCAAATTTTTTTCAAAAAATAAAAAATAAATTCAAAAATTGTTAAAAAATACATGAAAATCATTAATTTACAATTATTTTGGAATTTTTGAGAATGTAGATCAAGTTTTATATTTGCAGATAATGCTATTTATGTGAAAAATTACGATTTTTCTCAAAAATTTGTAATCAATTTTGATAAATATGACCTTTTAAGATAAATCACTTATATATCATAGCGAGTGATTAATTTTAAAGATAAATTCTCATATATGTATCTTATAAAATCAACAACTTTATTCGAATTTTAAATTCTTGACAAATTTAGATGAATGATTGGCCAAAATTGTTAAATTATAATGTAAAACAATCATTACTGATGAAATATTTTGTTTAATAATCGATTTATTGATATTTTTTTGAAATATGAGAGAAAAAACTGTTTTTTCACAAATTGTGCATATTCACCTTCACAAACATTACTATTTAAATGATATACCGCAGCTATTTGCCTAATATCTTAATCAATTTTTGCAATTGTGATTTAACTCGATTTGTATCGAATTTTAATCATTGGATAGATATAGATTTCCCTAATCCAATTCAGATCATCTATTATATTAATGATATGCTAAATATTTCATAATAATAAAAATAATTAAGAGAATTATCACATTTTATTATTGTAAATCATCACTTTAAACTATGCATTTATTAAAGGTCTCGTTACAAACAGAAATAATAATTAATAATATTTTTTATATTTAATTCAATATATTTGGGCTAAACAATAGTGTTATTGTTATATCCTCATATATGGTAGCACAAATAATATATTGTTACCTTATAAACACAATATTTTTTTTTAGAATTAAATAAACATAATACTTTTTATGTATTAACACAATAGCACAGTTACAAAACGTTAGTATTAGTATTAGGCTACCTCATTATATGTGAAAATAGTGAGAAATATCATAATTTGTCTTGCAATATTCTAATCAATCTCATAAAAAAGCATAATATAGTATTTTTGTTATATAAATAGATTACAAATAGTATGCTTTAGCAGCGCCTAAAAAATCAAGGATCTAAAATAACTCTATGGTGGTGAATTATGCATTTTAAAGTCTATCGTCGTGATCGGAACGATTATTTCCGAAATAGACCGAAAGACGATTATTTTTTTCGAAATAGACATTCTCCCATAAACAATTTTATACATTCTTAATAGAATTAGGCCCTTCTGGAGTGATATTTTTCGTTTAATTTTCATAATACAATAATAAGGTAGTCACAAAATCTAAGTAGTGAGGCTCTCAAAAATTGAACCGTACTCCATACAAAATTTGTGTACCATCACTACTTCGATTTTGTGGCCTTCAATTGAGAGGTTAGTTTTGATAGAGCACGTTATAAAATTAAAAGGGAAAAATAAATAAAATTTAAACATTTAATTATATATAATGTAAGGAGTGTAATTCCAAATTTTCTAAAAACTATTCAAATTTGAGCATTTTTTTGGAAATAGTAAATCTAATATGTACATCTAATAACAACATGAGTCATCACCTTTTCAAGCTCTGCAGTCAATTTTTTGAAATTTGATTGAAATAAATGTAGCAAAAATTACATTTCATTAGGGAATATATGAGTTTCTCTGGAAACAGGCTGATAAATTTTAAATTTTGTCCAATCAACATGAATGCATTGAGAAATTTGGATTGATTTTCTGGTAGAATCTGGAACAATTCAACCATGTATAAATGGATCATGTAATCATCATGAAATGTTAGTGTTAGAGTTCAAAAGAAACAGAATGAGTGGAAATCAAACACAATCTGAATAATTTTAAACGTATACAATCTTTAAGTTTGTATTTTGAATTCTACATATATGATTGTGTAATTCGTTCTTTCAAATTTTCGGATTCAGGCATGTTTTGATAAAATTCATTCCCAAAAACGTCAATTAACAATTAAATTTAGTGTATTTTAAATATAGATACGTATTATATTTTATAAATTATATTAAATTCGCAAAATTTTAAGTTTTAAACAAAAATAAAAAATGTTCAAAATATGAAATTATGCATAGGATATTAAAATTTACATGTTAGCAATTTTTTTGAATTACTTTCAATTTTCATATTGAAATTTTTAAGATTTTTTTCTGAAATAATAAGCAAGAATATCAACCGAAATAATATTAAATTCCATGCGTTAATTTCCCCTCAAAAGTCATTGACCGCCTCTCAATCTAGATTTTGTGAGTACTTTACGTCTATACTCTCATTTTCCTCCCTTTCAATGAAATTGAAAGAACTTTGGAGGAATATATATATACATGTTTAACTACTAGCTTTGCAAAAAGTCCATTAGCATATAATATAATGCTTATATTTAGTAAAATTAATATACATTTCAAGGCTAGATTTCGAGAAAAATTGAAATCGTGATTTTTTGAGTGGCAATAATATTCGTAACTATATATAGTATCCAAATAATATATTATTGTGTATTTTGAAGTTTACGCTTTTTTTACAAGTTATCAAAAATATTTCGCAATATCTTGCATAACCCATTATTTGGTACCATTTTTAATTGAATGAAACCTAGCGGTCATTCAATTTATTGTGCTGATGATTCAAAAATCTTGGGACTTATTTTCTGAATTAATTCAATATACATACAAAGTGTGTGATATATGTTTCTCAACGATTTCAAGTATAGTCTGGAAATAAGAGTCTTTATTAATTTAAATAAATAAAAAAAAACGAGGCGACCCGCTCTTGAACTTTTGCCAGTCTGAAATTCTACATGACAGTCTTGTTTTCAAAAAATCATAAAATATCTCGAAATCATAAGGAAGTCATTCAATGCGTCCATACACACTTTTACTATGCTCCATATGTCAAGCATAATGGGCATAATTTTGTTCAATATCTGTGTTATTGATGAAATTTCCCTATTTACGGTAACAAATTTAATATGCGATAGAGCTGTATATGAAGTTTCCCTATTTGCAGGGATAATAAATTGAGAGAAATTTGACAGTCTTAAAATCTATAACGTGTTCCCTCTCAAAATATTCAAAATTTTTTTTGATGAGTTCCTCGAGAACGAAGACAGTTCTAACATCGAGGAATTCCTCAAGAAGCATTTCAACAATGAGCACAATGAGCACAAAAACTGCCCCAGTGAAAGGTGCGAAACCAATACGAAAATTTCATTATATTTTAAAAGATTACTCGAATTTCGGAGCCGATACTCCAAAATGGACCATAAACCCGCGTCCACCCACAGGAGAAATCGAAATCAGTGAAAATCCAGGTCCTGGCGAGTACGAAGTCAAACCAGATTTTCTTGATACAAAATTACCTCATATTATTCGTCCTAAACCACAACAATCATATTCTTCACTCACATCTAAACTAGATTATAACGTACCGCCGGCTTTTCCGGAAAATAATAAAATAACGATTGGCCAAAAAACAGGACAAAGTTATATAACGAAAGTGGAATCGCCTGATTTTATATATGTACCTCCATCTTTCGGCTCAAATGTATCTACAAAGATTTTAGAAAAACATGATGATGTAAAACCAGATTTAACACCAGGTCCAGGCCATTATAATCCCACAGAACTTAAAACTCATGTGCCCACAGTATCAATGGTTAAGCCACAAAATAATCAGAAAAAAGTTTCATTTTCTCATGATGTTCCTGGTCCTGGTTCATATAATATTTTACCACCACTGCCACCTACTGGCCACTGGACTGATAAATACAGAGAGAAGCCTCATAGAAAAAGGAAGAATATTGAAAATCGTCTTACCCCTTGGGAAAAACCAAAGGCTGTTGTTTTAAATGTGTAAGTATGTATGAATTACAATTATTTTTATAAGTATAACTTCTTAACTTTTTTGGTTTATATGGATTCCGATTTTGATGTTTAAATTTAGCTATATGATTTAAAATTTAAAGATATCGACACTATATGTGCATAATACTTATGTTTCAGCCTTATTCAGTAATCAATTATTCCTTCATTTAGAATTTGTATCACAATTCTTTATTTTGTTTAAAATGTCGTTTCAACTTCAAAAAACATATTAACACAACTATGGAATGGGACTGAAACAGGATTTTAGCCCATAAACTAACTTTTATTAAACTCCCTATAGATGCTTGGGTGTAAGATGAGAGAGGGTCAAAGTTGCTATTTGTCACTTTTCCACAAGAATATAATGGGGAAAAAGTTATCATATAGTTGATCTCATTCACGTAGGTGAGAGATGCATGTAGTGTAATGGGATAAACAGTGGGATTGCTGCTCTAAGTCCTAGGTTCGAGACACATTGGCTTCATTTTTCTCTTTTTTATTGACGTAAACTATTCAATTTTTGTGTTCTCCATTCAAATTTCAGAATTTTTTTTGCAGATTTCACGCTACATTCGAAGTTACCTTTTGTAACAACCACCACTGCCTACGAAAGACGAAAGTGTGTCACGATTTCACCCGGAAATCCGATGGTTGTTTAAGAGTAAGCACTTTTGGCACCTACTCGGTGTAAGATGTTTAAACAAATATTGTTAAAATTTAAAATTGTAGTTGACAAATGAGATAACTTTATTTTGTAGAACCAAGTGAATGATAAAGTAAGCTTCAACTTTACCGTAATGTATTGATAAACGATTCAGTTTATAATATTAAATTGATACAATTCTTTCATTGGATTGCAGCATCCTGATGTTTTACGGGTGGAGTAAGTGATGTGACAAAATGACAAAAATTGATAGAGGGTATAGCAAAGGCACACATATATGGCAATAAAATTATAGCAAACATATACTACTACAAATGATATTCGTATCCATATTATTTTGAAATGACAAATCTTTGAATATCTAGAACAGATTTTAAAATTCTCATAATGATTTATAGGTAAACATATCTGGTTTATTGCCTTAAGCCTCATATCTTTAATATATATGCTTGTAACAAAAATTATTCCAATAAAATAGATTCTGAAGTCTCAGCTTGGATTTGAAGACAATAAGAAAAAAAATACGTTATTGTTAGAGAATGAGCTCAACTGAAGGAAGTTATTACGAAAGTACTGATTATACAGAGACAAACACAGAGCAAGAATCAACCGCATCAGCTCAAGATGAAAATGGCGTAATTCCTGTATCGCAAAGTTCTGAGCAAAATGAAACTGGCGAATCCAGCGAGGCTCCAGCTCCAGTAGCTCAAGAAAAGGAAGCTCCACCGCCGCCACCTCCTGAACCAGAGGTAGATCCTCTGGAGGGAATCACCTACGATGATAATCCAGAAGAAGAATTGCCAGAATTTGGAGAACAGGCATACTGGGAGAAAACATATACAGACGATGTCGAGCTTACAGAATGGTATTTAGATCCAGTCGATTTGAAGAGCTTGATCAAAAAATTTGTCGAAAAAGAAACAAAAGTACTTGTCACAGGAACAGGTACATCAGTTCTTGCTCCATCTCTTGCTAAAGATGGATATGAAAATGTTGTCGCTATAGACTACGCAAAACCAGCAATCGTTAAAATGAAAAAAGTCAACAAAGAAGTAGAGAATTTATCATTTAAAGTTATGGATGTTCGCGATATGAAATTCCCTGATGGTGAATTCGGAGCTGTTATTGATAAAGCTACTTTAGATTGCGTTTATCATCTTGGAGAAAAAGATGTTACAGCTTATGTTGCAGAAGTTGCAAGAGTTTTGTCTAAGAAAGGCGTCTTCATTTGCGTTTCAAATGTTGAACAGAAGTTTTATGAACATTTCTTTGACAAACAAACAGAGCTTAATATCAAGCTCGAGAAGGTCCAAGAAGTCAAGAAACCAATACAATCTGATAGACCATACTATGTTTACGTTGTCAGAAAGGTTTCCAGACAATTATTTTAAATCATAGATATTCACTGCTTGTTACTTCATTTGAAACTAAAGTTCTTTTGTATATTATTGATTTCTATTCGAAACATCAGAGGTATAGTATCTTATTATCAATTTATGAAATTTTCATTAACATTTTGATATTTTAGTTTCTAAAGCTACTATAATATACCCAACTTTAAAAAGTGATAAGAACTTTAATAATGAGTTCAAATCTAATAGAAAATTTCGATAATTATCTCTGTTAACACTTAATATATGATATTTCTTATATTTTTCACAACAAATTCTTGATAAACAAATAAATTAATGACTCTTCACTTAAAATTGTATTAAAACTTATTACCGTACCTTGAATAACCGGCGAACCATTCAATTGGTCATAGACTAATTTGAGATACCCTTTTCAGAGGAATCTAAAATGTTATTTATATGGTTATTTATATATTATTTAATCATTTTCTTAAATAAAAATCATAAGTTCTCAATTTTTCTTCATAACGATTCTTATAAATTTTAATGTTTTTACTATGAGTGCTAAATATTATTAATTACTAATAAGGGTTTCGTTTTGCGAAAAAAACGTACAATACGCAATTTCGCTAAAAAAACATTTAGCTAGCAATTTCGACATTTGACTCCACTCAAGACGTCACTTTTTTAATTTTGCGGTATCATATTTTTGGAAAATCTTTATGAATATTATATAAAAAGTCTCTTTAATATCTATATTTCATATTTTTATCGATTTTTAAAGTTTTCGCGAAAAGTATTCAATTATTTTTGCTATTTGGTCGGGTAAATGTCAGATTTGCGACATTTTCTGATATGATATTCAGATTCTACGTTGATAATAATGCTTATAGAACCCTCTTGCTATTGTGTCAAAATTGCGAAACCGATAGCAAAAATATCTCGCAATATCAAAATTGAGATATTGAGTGAATTATGCATTATAGAGATTAAAAATCTGATTTGTGAAAACATCTCATCAGTTTCTAGCTAATTCAAAAATCTTTACTATCTTATTCGATTAAAATGAAAAGGGAATAGTTTTATTATGCTTTAAATGACAGCCTTATAATATAATCATAGTTTTCGCTCAATATGCAGCATTTTTTTTTCGAAATCTATGGTCAATGTCCTAAATACTGATTGCTTTGCATTCATATCTCTTACATTTTCTATACCCACATCACTATTCATTGCTATTCCTATCTTTTTCATTTTTGTTTGTTTCTCATAATTTCTCAAAAAACACGATAACTTGATATTTGTAAATATCATACTTTATAACGTAAATAAGAACTTGACCTATTAAGAAAAGCAGTAATGAAAAGAAAATCTGAAATTCATAAAAATTACAAGTTTCTGATGACAATTAGCTTAATTAAACCAGGTACAAGATTATATAATTGTATTTTCTATCCAATTATCCATATAATATCTTATCCAGAAAAAATAACTTGATCAATACCAAATGATTTTTTAACTAGTAAATAAAGTATTTTCTTTACACACACATTGTATATCATAGTTTTTTTTTTTGGTTTCGCAAAACATCCAAAAACAAATATGCTATAAAAGTGATAATTTTAGCAAAACGAAACCCTTATTCAAAACGAATCGAGATATGCCATAAATCAATATAAGGAGAATTTTATGATTTTCTCAATTTTCTAAAGGGTGTCAAATGAGACTCATGATGTTATCAGATTTTTAAAATTTTGATTGTAAATATAAAATAGAACTATTTATATCCAGGAAATTTTGAATTGGCAGTTAAATGACTTCATTTTATATGCTTCCGTTATTCTTTAACCGCGCCAAAAGCATTGGCATTCTTCAACACGAAGAAAAGGCATTCCTTGGATGGATGCGCGAAACAGGAAATATCTTTTTCGGCGATGAATACCACTTCAGACTTGGTATTTTCTTAAGCAACAAGCGTTATGTTGAGCAACACAATGCTGCCGGAAAGTCATTCAAGGTTGCCTTAAACCATCTTGCTCATCTTACACCAAATGAGTACAAAGTTCTTCTTGGAGAAAAGCCATACACCGGCGAAAGGAAGTATGTTAAACTCGACAATGTTGCTGCTGCTTCTGTTGACTGGCGCACAAAGGGAATCGTTAACGAAATCAAGGATCAGGGTCAATGCGGCTCCTGCTGGGCTTTCTCTGCTATCCAGGCTTGCGAATCAAGATGAGCACAGGCTGGCCATAAGCTTCTCTCATTCTCCGAGCAAAACCTTGTTGATTGCTGCGGTGGATGCTACGGATGTGATGGTGGCTGGTCTGCTGTTGCCATTGCTTTTGTTACACATACACAAGATGGCTACTTCATGCTCGAATCCGACTATCCATACACAGCTCAAGATGGTCAGTGCAAATTCGATAAGATGAAGGGTGTTGGCAACACAAAGGGTGCTGATGGTGTCGAACCAACAGAAGAGGCTCTTGCAAAGGCTGTTACAAATGGTGTTGTAACAATTTCTATTAATGCTAGCCAGCATTCCTTCCATCTCTACTCTTCCGGAATTTACTACGAACCAGCCTGCTCATCTACATTCCTTGACCACGCTGTCGGCTGCGTTGGCTATGGAACAGAGGGTTCTCAGGCTTATTGGATCGTTCGTAACTCTTGGGGCACAACATGGGGTGAAAAGGGCTATATCCGCATGATCAAGGATAAGGACAACAACTGTGGTGTCGCCACCAGAGTTGAACTCCCAATCGCTCTTTAAATTAATTTTATTTAAAATATTCTAGTATAGTCGCGATTGTATAACAATTATTTTAGCGCTATTTTATCTTCTACTATATAAATGCGTTTATCTGAATAGTAAAACTCTTTTTGAGAGTACAATTTCAAAATGATCAAAATATGGTAGTGTAAAAAAAAAAAAAAAAGGGAGTGGGGCCTCCAGGCACTTCGTGCCCTCTAGCCCCGAAGATGTTTAGTATAAATGAAGTATAAAATGAAGTTTTTTGGGTACTGGGGGCTTCCCGGGCGCGTTGCGCCCTCTAGCCCATAAAAAATTTTTGAGAGTCGTCGTCGTTGACTTTTTTGTAGAGCACTCAAAATAGTATAACTTTGTCCGGACAAGTAAGGGTCTATCGTCGCTACAGGAAAAGTTACGGGCGTTCCAAGGAAGTATACTTTGAGAGACTCTTTAGAAACTTTAGACGTTTTACATAACCATCCATGCTTTTACTTTACATCCGATAAAAGTGGTTTGGAAACCGTTATGAGATGGTTAGAGGACATACATGACTATGAGTTTAGATATGACAAGATAGAATATGAGAGAGGTCCTATAAACCGGAGAAAGTGTCATATAAACATCTGTCAAAAACCGCTTTTTAACTTCACTTAAAATGCCACGTAAGCTACGTAAGAATATACGTAAGAGGAAGAGAGCATTGAAACATCCAATAGTAAAACTGACACCACAACAACAGTTGCAACAACAAATAATGAATGACCCCACTATGTTGCAACAAATGTCAAGCAACCCTATGCTTTTAAACCGAGTTTTTGGTGCACAGAGTGGAGGTTTAAGAGCGGCACTTTTAGCGAAAATGGCAGGCTATGGTGGAGCTGCAGACGGAACAGCCTATAACCCTCAAAGTCAAATGAATTTGAGTTCACTCAAAAATCAAATATCAGATGTCAAAAAGTCAAACATAGACATACAGAAGCAAATAAGTGAAAACGAAAAGAAACTAGAATATGACAGACACACAAAGAAACTCAATGAGTTAAACGTAGAGAAAAAGAAGAAAGAAGAACAACTGAAAGAACTAAGTACAGAGGAATATGCGAAAAAAGTGTCAGAAAAAGCAGCAGAAGTAGCAAAAATGGAACAAGATGTTATAAATTTGAAAAACCATACTACTCAATATAAAGTACTGAAAGATGAAGAAATAAAACAAAAAGCCCTGAAGACATATATGGATAGCGATGAGTATAAAAAAGAAGTTGAAGCAAATGTAAAGGCAGAAAAACTTTTACAGTTGCAAAACCAAACCGTACAGTATGAAAACTTAGCACAAGAAAGTAAAAATAACGACGCAGCTATGCAAAAGGCAATGAAAAGCGCAGAATATATAAAAGCTAATAATGACTGGTTAGATGCCCAAGCCAACGCCAAAGCAGCCCAACTTATAGGGTCAATAAGGACAAAAATACAAGCGGATGAAGACAGTTCAAATGAAGCTTTAATGAATGCTGACTTTAAGAACGCCTTCGAAGCTCTTCATAGTAAGGTGAAACTAGTGAACGACTTCTCATCTGGAAAGAAACTGAAGTCTGAAGGTTTCGACAAAGAGTTAAGAGAAGTAGCACAAAATATGACGAAAATAACAGATGCAGCAACGAGACAGGCAGTTCAAAGTGCCTATGACGCCGTTAGAGCAACTGTTGTGAAAGTCAAGAAAAAGAGTTACAACAGACCAAAACAGACCTAGTAAATGCTTTCTTAAAAACGAAAAGTCAGGTAGGACACTATGCTGCAGATGGAACATATGTGCCAGCTGGTGGAACTTATATACCAGCTGGTGGAACTTATATACTAGCTAGTGGAACTTATATACCACCAAACCCTCCAAGAGAAGCACCTGCACCAGGACTACCTAAAACATTTACATCGTCACATGGACACAGACACAGGCATGCACCAAAACCAACACAACAACAACAACCAGCACAACAACAACAACCAACACAACAACCAACACAACAACAACAACCAGCACAACAACAACAACCAACACAACAACCAGCACCACAACCAACAGTTCAAAACCCTGCACAACAACAACCACAAACAGAGCAAGGACATAAAAGAAGTAGAGAACAAGGAAACCAAGATTTCTTAAAAATGCTTAAAGAAGACTATGGTTACCCAGCTACTCTTGACTTTAGTGACAGATATAAAGAAGCTATTAGAAAGTTCAAGGAAGGAAATACTGACCCGAACCTATTTAGCTTTATGGCTCAGCACCAAATGGGATATAATTTCAAACCTGGAAAATACAAGCTCGCTAAGGGATATGATTTAATAGCATATCATCCAAATGACATGACTGAATTTACTCCGAGATATTTGGTGTCAGAGCTAAATGACAATTCAACTCTCTTCATGAAACGCGTAAAAAATAGAGACGGAACGAAAGAAGAAAGGTTTATGAGTCCGGATGACTTAGATAGGGAACTTGTTAAAACGGTCTCGGAATATATGAAATGCCAGCAGATGAGGTACAAGAAACTCCACAGGAAGAAGTTCAGATACAACCAGACATGGAAGAAATAGTTCAGCAACAACAGCTAGAAGAGCCTGAAGGAAACGAACAAGTTCCTCCTTTGGAAACTAACTTCACAGAACTAGATGAAGATTTGGAACAGCCGAAAAATCTTGACCCTCAACAAGACTATGAGGTGAATATGGAATCTTTCCAAGAGTCTAAGAAAAATTCGGCTGACATGGTAGAAGAATATCGAAAAATGTTTGCCGACATACAAAAGACTCCAACACCAGATGAAAATATTCAGCATAGAATGGAAGTACTGAAAGAAAATGTACGCAAATACAATAACCCTTTTTACTTACGACCATATAACGTTCAATCTTTGGCTGAACTCGGTGAAAATAAAAGGTTAAATTTCAACAAAACATATAGAAATGAAACATTGTTTAAAGTTCATTCAGAACCTAACCAATATGGAAACAAACCTACTTTTGTTTCTGCAGACTATGGAACTACAATGAGATGGGGTCATAAAGCTAACCCGGATAGGTGGTTCATAAACTTACAACCACAATTCCAAGAAGTTGTAGACGCAATGGAAGTGAATGGTGAACCAGATTTAGCTGGTATTTTCAGCGCGGCTTTAATGCCATTGAAAGATATGAAACATGCAGATATTTTGGACCAGTATGAAATGAACATGGCTGATGGAAATATAACACCTGACGTTCTAGAACATTTATCTCAAAGAACTACACAGAACCATAAAGATGGTATATTTGGTGAAGAGTTTAGAAAGAAAGTTAGGGAGACAGAAGGAAGAGAACCTATTGTACATGACCTTGCAAACGAAAGTTTACAAAATGTCATAAAAACTTACTTTGCAGACAATGAACCGAGAAGGGATGAATATTTAAGAAAACTCAAATGGACAGTACCAAATGAAATGTTAGTATTGAAAAACATGTTCCTTGACAAAATAAAACCAACTACAGAAATAAATGACGCAAGCCTGAAACGTTGGGTAAAAGCTTTCCCATTCACAAAAGATATTATTGGTTACATGGAAAGAAAACCAGAATGGCTACAAAAACATATATTTGGAAACGAGCTTATTCCATATGGACAAGCTATATTTGAAGAGCTTGAACCGGAAACTCAGGAAAGAGTCATGCAAACAATACGCGAAGACTCAAATACAAACTATGACAAAATCTTTCTAGGATATAGGTTACCTGAGATGGGCGACCAGAGCCCAAAGGCAAAAAGGACATGGGAAATTTACAACATACTAGGTGAACATGAGGCAAAGATGCAACAACTTGAAGCAGAGGGCAAGTTACCAAAAGCGACACCAAAGAAGAAGAGAAGAGTAGAACAAAGTGAAAGTAGTGAAGAAGTAACTTCATCTAGTGAAAGTAGTGGCAATGAAGGAAAAAGAAGAGTTAAAAACTCAGTCAGGAAGAAAGTAAAGCTTGGTCCGAGTGGGTTTATTATGATATATAAATCCAACTATTCTATATTTTTACCCATATGAAATGTACGCCGCTCAGAATATAACGCCAACAGTTTTGGATGCCATGAATGGAAATGTTTCCGAATGGTATAACGAATGCGACAATGCCATTAGAAGGTCAGAAATAGTTCCTGGAACTTACGAATATACAACTGCTGTTTCTTATGGAAACGTAGGTGAGTTTGGAGAAGGTTCTTCAACAACAGTAGATATTGCTTGCGACAGGTTTCATATTATTTCTATTGACAACTCATTCTTATACGTGGAACAAGACATTGAAATAAAACCTTCTGCCAAGTTGTCTGACAAGAAAGGTTGCAATGGAATTTTCTATGTCGGATACCAATATGCTCCAGAAGTTTTCATGGGATATAAGATATATTCTAACTCTGACTTAGTTCAAACAGTAACATGGGCAAACTATGAATGGTTCGCTTTGAG